GACAAACTGTGATTGCCAGAAACTGGGGGCACATCATGTGAATACTTCAAGTGCTTGCTTTAAGCACCCAATATTGGTGAACGAAACCCACCCAACCAATCATCGCGCCACTATTTGTTGGGTACGAATTCCGCACAAAATTCACAGGATCTTCATTTTAGGGTCTAAAACATTATGTGTTCATGAATCCGGAAATGTAAAACCGAATTGAAAAAAGCGTATCATCTAGGTAAGAGGAAGTAAATCTATGAATTCTAGCTTCAGATCGGAGTATCACCGAAGCTACGGAAAATCAGTAGATCGATGGAGCGGTCATCTTAGATATGTCAGAAAATATCTTCCCAGCAGCTCCCCCTCGTCATGACCGGGCATAAGCGCCACCTCGGGGGTTGCCTCCTCCTCCTCCTCCTTGTAATAACCAGGCATAAGCTCCATCTCGGGGGTTTTCTCCAACTCCGCCTCCCACCAACTTCCCACCCCTTTTATCTCCTTCTTCTCCTTGAATATGGGTTCACCATCCTCACCATCATCGTCGAAACTCTCAATCTCCCGCTTAGGTCCCATGAATCTGACTCTAAACAGCTGGCCAATGTGTTTTTCGCCGGGTATTTCCAGAGTTCCCTCTACCTCCGCCGACTGCGGTAGACACAACTCGGGACGGGGGCCTTCGGTGTGAGCGACCCATTCAATGACGGTATCGAATTCACCTGGGTGGCCCGAGAGGACTGATTCCGAGGGGGAGCTGGAGCTGGAGCGTTTCACCGGGGAAGGCAAACGGAACTCCGGGTTCTTGGGCTTGGGAAGAACGATCCTATCGGCATCGCCATTGGAAGATCCAGCGTATTCGTCATCATCAAATACATCCGGCTCGTCCGCGAGTTCAAATTCGTCAAATTCGTCGTCAAACTCGTCGACTTCTTCGTAGGATCCGTAGTCGTTGGTGTCTTCGTCGAAGATGACACGCTCCAGCTTTACCGGCTCTGCCCAGGGCTCTTTGGGGATGGGTCTTCTCTTGGCCGGAAAGCTGGCCGTAACGACGGTTTTGTCGTCCTCCTGGCTGAGCTCCACTTTCATCTTGGTGTTTTCTACGAGGACTTCCGGTGCTGCAAACATGGTTAGCTAGTTTCGTCTCAACAGAGAACTAGGGAGCTCACTCTTCTCCGTCGCCTTGATGCTGCGCATGACATCCACAAATGCCTCGGGTCTGAAATGGCAAGCTCTGCGCAGCTTGAATGACCCCTCCCACAACTTGGAAGCGTCCAGGATTATCTCGACACATTTGACCTCCCAGACCCTGCCACCAAGGCTCGCAAAAATCCGTTCCGTCTCCCGCAGGGCCTCGCAGCGGAGCTTCCTCCAATCTTGTTTGTCCCACACGTTCTCCCTAGGATTGAATGAATTCCCATATTTCTTACGGAGAAACATATCCTTCTGAATTTCGCTGTCGTCTCTGGTCCATTCTTCTCGGATGAGCTCCGGGATGAGGTGCAAAAGCCGTTCACTCATCAGTAGTCTAAGGACTGTTTCGAGTGACGGCGGGAACTCCTCAGTCGTGTACTGATAAGAGTGATGCTGCACCAGTTTCAGTCCGTCACTGCAAGCCGTGTACGGCGCGTTGATGTCGCTGTCCGACTCCTCCTGTGGTTTCAAGACGAAAACTGCGATCTGCGAGCAATCCCCAAAGGCCTTCCGAAGGATGTCCACTCCCTTGTCGTCGTCATCGACGTCGCAGACAATCCCCTTCAGTTCTCCCCATTTATCCGTTCCCTTCAGGAACGAATCAGGGCTTCCACAAGCCTCGGCCGCCTCCCGCAGCACGTCGGTAGCATTCTCCCCGCCCACCTCTCCCATCCCCCTTCCGAGACCACCCACACCACAGAACTGTACATCGTACCCGAACTCCTCGGCCGCCTGCAACGCCCAGGATCTGAAATCCTGTCTCGTCCACTCGAAGCGATGGTCGTGGTGCCTCATGAGATATGGGACCCCGTCGCGACGGTACCTCTCAGCCGCCGGCGCGTTGGGATCCAGGTTCGACAAGAAGTCGAAGAGCGCATTGAACTCTCTATTCGGCGTGGTGACGATGCAAACCTTCGGTTTCAGCTTTCCCAGCAGAGTTGGTGCAAACTGCGAGCGTGGGCCAGGGTCGAGATGTTCAAGTACTAGACACTCCTCGTTAGTTTCTATGTACCCTTTCGATTGCGGGGAAATTAGGTTGCGCCCACCTTCGGCAGAGACAATCACCTCATGGTAGCCGACGTCCTCGATCCGCAGCGCTTCGAAACTTCCTTGAAGCAGCCTAATGTCGAGACCACGCCATCTGTCCTCTTCGTCCCCAAACGGCTGTTCTAGAAACATCCAACTCTTGCTCTGCGCAACTTCGTCATCGATGTCGACACCTGTCATCTGCCCCAGAGGCAACTCGTCTTCACACGGGACCAAACGACGGATGAAGGTTGCTTCGCCGCAGCCAACGTCAAGAAGCCTGGGGATGTTTCCTGCGAACCGCGGAGTGGCAGCAATTGAGCGCAGAATGTCGTGGATGGCACGCTGTCTCTGGATCTGAAGAGGTGGTTCAAATACCAGATATGGAATATCGGGAGGAGGGGGCGAACCGTCTTCCGACGGTGGAAGGGGGATGTCCATGGTGTTTTGTCGCTGTTTTCTTTCTTGGCGTTGGGTGGATGTTATTGGATGGAGTTGAAATACGGTTGAAGCGGGATGTAGAAGTAGGATGTTGCCGACAACCCTAATTGGTGATCGACATGTGCACTAGCTAAACTTTATCACATCACTCTATAGATTAGAGTGCACATAGGGCTGAAGCCTCAGGGGACATCTAGTGCCGGAGTAAGTGAACATTCGGATCGGGGGAATTAAAATCCAAATGCGGTAATATACTAGCATTTATTTATTTTATTTTCTCACGCTCCATGGCCCCGCAGAGACCGAAAATCACAATATTTCGGCCAGTTCTTGCCCGTTTTCTTCGATAAAACACTCTTCTGGATCGCATGAGCACGCGCATTCTATTGGTTCTATTCTTCAACAGGTCTGTCACTAATACCATTGACCGCGCTTCCGCAGCCTACTCTAGAGCTCTAGCGCTTCAGCGCTCGACAACCCCGCCGGGAACGAATATCACAATTTCTCGGCCAGTTCTTGCCCATTTTCCAAAGCGCAGATGTACAAAGCTCATCAACAGGTTAGCGATAAGTCAGAATTGTAGTAGATTGTAGGTAATTAGTTTCCATTTATGTACAAAATATCCTTTATCACGGCAATTAGCCACCATGTTGTGGTGCCAAGACGTCCCAATCGGGCAACTGGGTGTTGCAAGACTGCCCAATCGGGCATTGTGGCTGTTCAGCTGCTGGACATTCCCAGGGCCTCTCCATACTAAATCTTTTTTCGTCTATTTATTTTTAATTTTGGTTGCCACTCAACCACAACGTTTTTTTTAAAAAAAGGGCGCTGTATAAATCATCTCCTGCCTCTTCTCTATCACTGTACAGAGCTTTTTTTTTTTAAAAAAAAACGGCTTTTTACCCTCGTGCACCCCTCCGGCGCTGAAATAGCGCCCATGTACCCCCCTATCCTCGATGTACCCCACGCAAAATTTTATAATTAAAGTACGGTAATTGTTTACCGCAACAAAACAGATTTACTCCTCCACCACCACCATAAACCAGATTTTAGTTCAATTAAAGTACGGCAATTCTTCACCACAACAAAATAGAGGCCCTTTCTTATGGCAAATGGGCCGAAATCTACAAAGCGGCTGTGACACCGTTCGACTGGGAGGGCTTCAACAAAATCATCAAGGAGGACTCGGGCTCAGACTCTCCGCGCCAGGCAGAAGAGACTAGAGAGAACCGACTTCAGCTTCAATCCTGCAAGCCACCATTGACCAAGATACCGCGGGGTAGACCGGCAAAAAAGCGAGTACAGAAGGGCGACATGCGGAGGAAGGGGTACACTCCTAGCAATGGTGGATCTAGTCTGCCGGACGTGTCTAATAAACCTCCGCCACGCTGTAGCATCTGCAGTGGTGTTGGTCACTATGCGCCCAAATGTAGGCAGCCACACAGGTAAGCAATTACTGAAAACCCGGAAAAAGAAAAAACGCTGCTACATACGTGGTTCTGGTGGGTAGAACTACAATCTGGCTTTTAGTGGTGGAGAAATAAATCTGTTTTGTTGTGGTGAAGAATTGCCGTACAGTGACAAAAAAATACATACTTTAATTGAACTAAAATCTGGTTTTTGGTGGTGGTGGAGGAATAAATCTGTTTTGTTGTGGTAAACAATTACCGTACTCTAATTATAAAATTTTGTGTGGGGTACATCGAGGATAGGGGGGTACATGGGCGCTATTTCAGCGCCGGAGGGGTCCACGAGGGTAAAAAGCCGTTTTTAAAATTAGGTTGTTAACTAACCGAACGTCAAAACGGGAGTGAAACACTCCGGTTTTAGATGTCCCCAACATACAAGGTGTTTTCGGGGCTTTTGAATATCTTGGCACCTCTGTTCTACACACAATTGGTGAATACCCGATTCGGCTCGGCAGCCCACGGTGACTGTCGGCCAAATAAACACAGCGGGTTCTATCACCTCCAAGTCGGAGAAACAAGGTCGGGTTCTATCCGGATCCAGAACAGCAACCGCAACCCCCCCCCCCCCCCCCCCCCCCCCGAAAAAAAACCCGGTGTTCCCTCCGCCATCTCACAACCTACCCTCAACTTCACAAACCAAGGTATGCCGGTCAAAAATCAACCAGAGTTAAAGCAAAAGAAGCCCAACCAGTAACGAAGGTGGTACCATGCCCGCGTAAGTACATAGCTCCCACAAGCTCCCATTCCGCAACCGAAATTAACCCGCAGCGGTAACTACAGTCCGTGCTACTCTTCCGACCTGGAGGAGGGGGAGGTGGTTGTGAATCCCTCACCTTCCGTCAAGTGCACCCTATATGTATCAAGGTGTTCCGTAATGAGGACCAGATGAGGAGCCACAAAGAGAGCGCCGACGACCATGCGTACTGTCGGCTGCACAATATCGACTTTCGTTCGTGGGAGGAGCATTGCAAGCACCGCGTTCTCAGTCGTGGGCATTTCACTTGTCACATCTGTTACAAGGACTTCAAGAGTCAGCGCGGATTGGCGATTCATGCGGATCGGGTATGTTGCTTGCTTGCTGATGCGCGGTGTGGACCCGAGTGGTGTTGTTGACCAAGCCGCAGGTACACAAGCCCATCGAATATGTGACCTACTTTGTGTGCCGACAGACCTTGAAGGGCAGCAAAAACGGGCTCACAATGCACTCGGAGAAGAACTGCAGGGGAGGAATGGCCCACGGAGACTCGATGCACCAGAACGACCATGCCATGAGACCCGGAGCAGTCCAACAGTGGGTGATGGATCTCAGAGCTATGGACGACGATGGTTTCCCCACCCAGGACAACATCCATGCCTCTCAGCGCTCAGTCCAGCCACCGACGATCACGCAGAGAGATATGGGCGGCGACGGCTTTCCCACGCACCACAGAAGCAACAGCTATTCCACTCAGGCCACTGGAAAGTTCCCCACGCAGAACTACAACCAGAATAACCACCATGGCTCTCGGCCCGGAGTCCATCAGGCGATGACCACTCTCGGAGATTTGCCCGGCGGAGGTTTCCCACCCAGAACAACAACCGCAGCAGAAGCAACAGACTTGCCTCTCAGCGCGCATTGAAGCCGCCGATGAGCACGCAAGGAGTTGTGGGCGGCGGTAGCATCCCCACGCATCACAGAAGCAACAGCTATTCCACTCGGGCCATCGTAGGCTTCTCCACGCCGAACCACCCCCCGAACCGCCCCCCGAACCACCGCGCCAGACGTGCCGCTTAGCGCGCATCCATGCAGTGGATTAAGACGCAGGGAGAAGTAGGCGGTGGCGGTGGCAGCGGCGGCGGCTTCCTCACGCACCACGCCCGCAACAGGGTCGACACCACCAGCACCGCCAGCAACAGAGCCGCCAACGATCTCGGCATCGCCCACCACGAGATGTACAAGTACTTCAACCAGGTTCACGGAAAGTACATTTGCCCGTGCGGCAGCAAGATGAATACGTACAACGGCTTGTGGCAGCACCTGGAGGGCCCCGCACATACCCGTCGCAAGGCTGTGTATGAACCCCCCATCCCGTCCATCCCATCCCCCCCTTCCCCGACGGCTAGAATTGAAGCTGATATGTTGTGTAACTACGTAGCTGCCCCGCCTGCAAGAGGGAATTCAACGCCCCCTCGGCGCTGATCCAGCATCAAGAGCGGCAGGTGCGGACGCCCAACCGCCCACACCACGGCCGGTGGATCTTCGAAGGACAATAACGAGGAGAACCAGTGGGCTTCCTGGTAAACGGGTCAAGGACGAGATCTTTTGGTACGTATATGGCCTCTCATCCCATCCCATCCCATTCCCGGATAGGTACCGAGCTAATATGTTGTTGCACTCCAGGCTTCTGCGCATTTGAGGTTAACATTTCTTACCATTTCTCTCATTTCATTCACTTCTGTCAGTAGGATGGCTGCACAGTTGTTTGGCGCATTGTCATGGGTTGGGCGTTTGTACTAGCTTCTTGAGATAGACTGAATCAATGATATCACGAGTGACCTCAAATGACCGATCACCTTTTCCTAGTAGTAGTCTGTTCATGTTCCCGTGGACCAGTTCCAGCGAATCACCGTGAGTTTGGTTCACCCATCCATAGCCATACCGTAGACCGTCCCCATACCCATCCATTAAACCCCATCCTATATAACCAAAAAAGTGTACAACAACCCCCCCCCGCCCGCGCCCCCTTCCCCCACCCCTAATCCTCCCTCAACATCCTCAGCAAAAACTCCCTAAAGCTCCCTTTGGCGACCTCGACGACCTTCGCACCGACAGACACGCCATACTTCTTCTTGAAGACCTTCTTGACCCTTCTTAGGTGTCTCGGGTCCCAATGGATCCTTGTGGCGCGCGAGATCAGCAGGTCCTCGCGGCTCTGCTCCACTACCGCTACCAGCGCTTGCTGCAAAAGCTTCGCGTCGCGCAAAGGCCGGTCTGTGACGCCTGAGAGAATGTGGAGGAGTGTTTCGCCCTGTGTGTGCATGTGTGAGCGGGGGCGCGGGGGCGGGGTGGGGGGTTGGGGGAAGGGGGGGTAGCTACCACAAGGTTCTTGGAGTGCTTCATGACAGCCTTCGCCAAGTCGCGCTGATAGACCTGTCTATACAGCTGGGCGACGGCGAGGAGCCATCGATCGGAGCGGTTAACAATAATCCCGACCATTTCGGTTTCACCACCCGCGGCGCCATTAGTGCGCTCCAGGATCGTGCCAAGTCTTTTAACGTCCTCATGGACGCCCGCTTCTACGAACGGCGCGGACTCGTCCATGCGGCCGCAGGAGAGCTGCGCCATCACCGCGACGCGGAACTTGTTGGCGGGCAGCTCCTCGGCGACTGCTTTCTCGAGCGACGAGTCGTATTTGGCGTCCTTGAAGCATGCCTTGATCGCTTCCGTCTCGGCGTTGGATTTGCCCATTAGCGCTTCGATCAGCAGCTCGTTGCGCGTCTCCTTTTTCTGGTACCAGCCGTTCGAAAACCACGCTTCGCTCTCGTAGGGCCCCAGGGCTACGGCGAAGATGATTTTGCCGAAGGGCGTGGACGTCGTGAAAACGGATTTTATGTGCTTGGCTAGGTTTACGCCCCGGTAGAGCGTCTTGTATTCTTTGCGCAGCGATTTGAGCTGCTGCGGCGTCAGAGTCGGCAGGATTTCTATTAGTGGCTGCGGCGAGGGTCGCGTGAATGTGTGTCGGAGCTCGTCGAGGATTGCTTTCGCGTCTGAGGCGGGGTTGTATGTGCGCTCGGGAGATGGGGAGCTGGCGCGGGAGGGGGCGACATAGGGGGAGGCTATCATTACGGGTCTGCTGTTTGAGGGCGTGTTGGGCTGGTTGTTGGATTGGCTGTGGCCTTCACCTTCGTAGCTGGGTCGGCCGTGGAAGCTCAGTGATGGCTTAGCGAATGCCGGTGGGCCAATGGAGAAGGAGCCGGATGCCTGGTGCTTTCCTATACCGATGGATCCCGAGGCGGAGATCAGCGAGTTAGGCTGGGCGGCGAAGACAGGCGACGGCATGGGCGAGATGGACTGGTATGTTCCGTGATAGGGCAGCAAGGCGGGTGAGGGTGGTGGCAGAGTTCCCGCTGCGTGTGCACTATGGCCGTTGCTACCGCCGCCCGGCGACAGAGAAAGCTTCGACAACGAAGGAATCCCGAGCTTTCCCAGCTTGCCGGAGAAGCCGCTTCCGTTTGGCTTGCCATTGCCCTCGGTGTAACTAGCATTCGCACCCATCCCGGTCGATGCCGATATAGATTGTGTCAACGACTGCGTTGTAGTGGAGTCGGAGAGCACATGGTGGTAATAGTCGGGATTCTCAAACTGTGGTGGTGCCTGTCCGGGAGGATAGACCTTCCCGGCCCCCTCACCCGGCAACGGCCCGGTCAGATTGTTCGGATCCAAGTTTGGCGGCATATCGCCGCCGTACGGAACGATCGCCGTCGGACCCCCCGTCTGATACTGGAAAACAGTTGGGACGGTAGACTGCAACGCCGGTCTTCCCTGGCCAGACATCGGGAAAGAGGCCGTTTGCGGCGGCGGCGGGGCGGCAATGGTCGTATACACCCCCGGCTGTGGCGGCGGGAGCGCAGCAATCGAAGTGACACTGTAGGTCCCAGGCTGGGGCGGCGGCGGAGAGGGTACATGTCCGTAGCTGTTCTCGGGCGGCGGATAGCTAAGGTTGTATGCCACCCCCTGCGGCGGTTTCCCGACGCCATAATCCGCGGGCACATCCGGCGGGTACGACGAGTAATTCGCCGCATGCGTTGCCTGCGCCTGATTGGACAACGCCCCACCAGCACCGCCGTACACCCCCAGTGCACCCACTGCACCCACTGCAGCCTGCTCACCACCGTAGCCATAACTCCGCTCGCGCGTCTTTTCACCGGCAGCAGCATCCTTCCTCGCGCGCCGCCGCGCGCCCTCGCGCTCGGTCTCGCTCCCGCCCCTGTCGTCATCGCGCCGCGGTCCCCTGCTCCGGCTGCGATCGCGCCTGCTGTCGTCCCGCGGCGCGGCCAGTCTGGTCTCCTCGGCCCCGTCGGCCCCCTCCGCGTCCCGCCTGGCGGCTCGCGCGGCGCGCTTCTGCGCTTTGTGCGCGGCGTAGTCGGGGGAGTCTTTATCCGGTCGCGGCATTGTGTGTGTATGGGGGGGCGTGTGTTTAATTTCTTGCGTTCGTTGGCTCGTTGGCTCGTGAAGGTGATGGTGATGGTGATGATGATGATGATGAAGGCGAGGGCGAAGGTGATTGTGAAGGCAGGGAGATCAATCAACGGGCGCGGGTTTTTTCCCGTCGCGCTCTACTTAAAGACTTAGAGTCTTAAGCCTCGACGGGCAGAGTCTGGTCGGTCGCATGCGGGCTGGCATTGGCATTGGCGCCGCATACTGCTGCTTCTGCTGCTGCAGGTGGTGTAACAGCGAGAGGTGGCTGGCTGGCTTCGTGGTGTTTGTTGATCCAAGCGATCGACCGACCGACCGGGATTCTTCAGCTGGCATTGGCCCACTGCGGGTTTTGTTTTGTGTGCATGTGGCATGTGGGGAATCCGCTCCGGCAAATCGATATCGATGGACGTCCGTATGTGCAAATGTACCGACACGGTTGTTCCTCTACGATTAGCGATCGAGCGCCCTGCCTGCGCTGGGCTGTGGCTGCCTACGGCGGAATCGGAAGCGGATGCTGATGGCGCGATTGCGGATCGATGATCTGTCGAGACTCGGCGGACTCGGCGGAGCTGTGGAGCTGCGGACTGGACCCTGTAATACCGTACCAGGTAGCTGTGGCCTTTGAAGCTTGGGAAACATCACAGACAACAAAGCCTCCTCCATATGCTACTCTACATGGAGACCGAAGACTGCGGATCACGAAACGATTCACTATGTTTCAACCTCTCATACCGGTAGGGGAACAGGCAGGAACACTGTTTTAATTCTACATACTGCTTCTGGACTAACCGAACAGGTAGATACTTCTTAATAATCTATTAGTAAAACCACTCTATCCTGGTTTAGACATCGGGCCTGGACAGGGACGACATCGTGCCTCATCCTCTCCCCAGGGGTCCGGCGAAGGGCCGATATCTGAGGACTCATCATACTTTGGGTTTCAGCTTTTAAACCTATATATGGCAGGAAATAAGAGGGTATGAAGTATACGGAAAGAAAAGAAAAAGGAGCGGTATCAGTTGGCCAGATCGAAATGAAGAAAGTTCGAAACGCGAGATAAAGATATGAAGAAAAATACCCGAACGAATGCGTCTCAAACCAACAGACCCCCCTCCCTCCCTCCGAAGTATACAGCAAACTCATCATCACGGGTCATCAATTCTACTATAGAGGAGCGATAACGGTAACGGGGGGAGAAGTGAGTCTTGAGATAAGTAGTGAAATAGTGTAACGGGAGAAGAAGAAAAACTACAAGAAAACCCCCTGAAGAAAGTTGAAAGTTGAAACATCCATCCACCACAACCACAACCACCAATCGCGAGATCACCGCTCTGGGGGACATAAGTGGGTAGACAAACTGGAATACAAACAAAAAAAAGAAAGAGAGAGTGAAAGCAATAGAAATGTAACCACACGTCGAGGTCAAGGGGAGGGTATTAGGAAATAGGGAAAGGGAAAGAGAAAACCCGGAAAGCTGTCACAGACGCAAACACAAGAAAAAGATAAAGGGAAAAAGAAGAAAAAACCGACAGATATAAAATCGCGGGCTCATCCAGATCCCGTCTTGCAAAGTAACCCCACAGAAGCCCAACTTGAGAGAAAGAAAAGAGAAAAAACCATCCCCACAGACTCCCAACCCAGAGCGCCTACCGCAATCATACAAACACATCCATTTTCGCTCCTGCCAGAGGTCGATCAGAACCGTCTCCGCGTTCTATTTCCCGAGCCCAGCCTCTCGCTCCTCCAGTTCTCGTACCAGTATTCCCTGCTCTTTTCTCTGAGCTCGGCCCGCCACTCGCTGAAGACACTGTCTTTGAGCCTAGTGAAGTCGCAGTGGGCCTCGTTGTGTGGATCCGCGAATCCCCACGGGAAGTGGCGGCCGAGGGGCTCGCCGGGCTGGTAGGAATCCGGGGATATGATCGACAACGGGATGAAACACAGACCAGCGGTGATGCCCATGGGGCGTTGGAACTCAGCCGAAGAGTCAGCCGTGGCGGACCTATCTTCGTCGTCATCCCCAGCCGCAGTGTGGCCACGTGCAACGCCCGAATCTTCATCGTCATCGTGTTCCGGGCCTTCTTCATCCTCTTCCACCAATGAGCCTCGCTGGCCTGCCTTGTGGTGCTCGTCCTCCTCAACCTCCAGCTCCAGTGACTCGAGAGGGTCCTCGTGTGCCGCGGCAAGTCCCCTTCGGACGATGTCCTTGAGGTACTCCATGTGCTTGGAGGTGCAGGTATCGGACTTGCTGATGACCGGAATCACCACCGACTTGCCATGGAGGGCTTTGAGGACCGAGATATCGAGGTCGGGATCCAGGCCACCGGCCTCGTTGGATCCGACTTTGCCAGGGAAGTGGTTGTTGGGGGTCAATCTGGCAGGATCGAGGAGCAGGAATACGCAGTGGATGTGGGTGTCTCTAATTCCCGGAGCACGGATAACCTTTGTTTCCTCGGAGAATGTCTCTTGGAACTTGTCCTCGATGAAAGCGACGGTCTCTCGCAGCTGCAGGTCGACCATATTCTTTTCCAATCCGGCCGAGTCCCACAAAGTAAGACCAATGCGTTCACCGTCGATCTCCGTCTCAATGTACGTTGACTTGAAGGGACTATCGGAAGTAGTGCCAGTGTGATCGGTCTGAGGGGGCGTGTCTCCTGTATGACCGCGTTTCTTGAGGGAGAGCGAGTGACCCAGAAATCGCAGGAACGACGTCTTTCCAGAGTTCCTGGCGCCGATAACCAGCACACTATCGGTAGTCCGTCAGCATTGCTCGGGATGTATGCAGATCGTCACGATGGGGGCAGATGGGTAGTGCAGAGCTCACTTCCGACGGGAGAGTGCATGTAAGTTGGGACCAGCAGCCAACCAATTTACAAATACAACGGGAAGTTGCCGCACGACACCGAAAATCAGGGAAGAGACAGTTTGAGTCACTTACTTGAACGGAGTAGGGTCTTTCCTCCTTCTCACCCGTCTGGGAGAGTTGACGGTGCTCACAGCGCTACTAGCATAACTGTATCTTCCGCGGTGTGCCATACTTCCGACATTCGCGTATGGGTCTTCCGAGATGGGTACCGAAGTACTCCTGACGTACTCGCCAGCCGGACCGATGACCGAATCCGAGCTCTTCCTGCCGGGGACGAATCCGCCCATGGCTGCATGGTACTGTGGCTGTTGCTTCCTGTAACCGTTGCTGACGGTCTCCTCGCTGGCATTGAACCTGCCGGAGAGGATGTCGACCGAGTCCCTCACGTCCTTGCCGAGAAGGTGATTGGGGTAGCTGCCGTTATTGGCGGAGCCATTGACAGGAAGGTCGGGAAGCTTGGGAGGGGAGGGGGCAACGACAGGCATCTTGCGTACAGGATCACCAGACTTACTGCGGCGGAGAAAACCGAGTGTGCGGCGGGAGGAGGCGGGAGTGGAGGAGGTTGTGGAGCGAGAGGGTATTGGGGGAACAGGAGGATGTTGGGGTTGCTGCTGCTCGGCGGACTTTGGAGTGGGCGGCCGCTTGGCGGATGACTGAGAGCGAGACGACATTTCTGGTTTAGGTGAGGATGCGAACTTCCCAAAGCGTCAGTGAGTGCGTGTGGGCGAGTGGGCGTGCGTGAGTTTGTTTGTGTGTGTGAAAGCGTCGTGGAGGGGCGATGGGTGATGGTTCGTGCTGGGGACAGGCTTGCAAGCTGCGCCTCTACCGGGTGCCCTGGGGACCGAAAGATTGGGCGAATGAGATAGATGAAGGTTGAATTGAAGTTGCAAATCACCACTTTTGGCGAGAAAGACGGAGTCAAAGAGAGTGAGAACGAGAGTGAGAGCGAGAGTGAGAACGAAAGTGAGAGTGAGAGCGAGTGAGTGAGAGTGGGTGAGGGTTTCCGTGCTTGTTCCGTCGTCCGAGTGCGAATATATCGTCCGTTGACCTGTCCGCCTAGCCGAGTAGGATGCGAAAAAAGATCGACTGACTATTAGCGATTGACCGCTGTGGATGTTCTCGATATATGTTGCTATGAAATTCTGCGCTCAGCGCTGAGGGCGGGGGCGGGAAGGGGGCAGTTGAAAGTGTAGCGACGATCTGTTGTCGTTGCGAGGCGGAACCGATGGATGTCCCTGGTGATGGCGCGGTCCTTCGAGCTCTACTCAAAACAGCCTCAGGTGACGAGTAATCTATTGCGAACAGCCCAAAATAAGCAGAAGCCTTTAACAACCCATCCCCCCCTTCTCCGCCCAGCCATCAGAAACACAACGACGAATGAAAAGAGGCACGAAGGAACGAAGGCAGGCAGGAACCCTTCGAATCCGCATCCTGCCTTCTTCTTCTTCCCTGCAGCAGCAGCAGCTGCTGCTGCTGCCCCTCCCCCTCCAGCTCCAGCTCCCCCAACCTCCCCACTCCTCCACCCCTCCCCATACAGCTGCAGCACTCAGGCTCACACACGCGTGCAGAAACCACACAAAGAACAATTCCCCACAAACGGATATTCGCCAAACGAACCTTTTCTTTCTTGCTTTCGTCGATTCAAAACGACACCTGGTCCCTTTGCAGAATCCTTCTCCTTGTCCTTCTTCTTCTTTCTCGTCCAGCAAGCTAGCGAGACTTCTTTGTGCACGGAGGGCTGTTGTGAGACAGCAGCCTGGCCGGTCGACTTGGAACGAACGAGCGAACGAACGTGAGGAGAATGCGGTGCTTCAGCGGTGGAAGGATGGTGATGATGGGTCGCCAGGTCCCACCGAAGAAATAAATGGCAAGTTGAAAATGCACTCGAGTACTCACCTAGCAAGCGGCTGTCGTGATTTGCGTGATGGCTCGGTTACGGACCTTCCAGAGGAGCTGCGAGCTATGTCGACCGACACTTACGATGAGAAAATACCAGGCTGAAGCTGGGCCGTGCTATGAGAAGGACGATGACGACGACGAAAACGACGACGGCGACGGCGGGAAAGCGGCTGCGACGGGGACGACGTGATGCACTCGTGTTTCTTCGGCAGAGTACGTGAACGCGACAGAAAGATGGAATTGAGCAGTGTAGACAACACGCGCGGTACGTTCAGGTAGGTGGTGATTTGCAAAAACCCAGTTGCAGTGCAGTTGCAGACGAGATGTGGTGGAGGGAGGTTTGTTTTCTTCCTTTTTCCTTTTCCCCGTCCATTGGTCTCTGGTGGAATAGGGGGTTTGTTTGACCAGCCAGTAAAGGTAGGAGTGGGATGCGCTCATCTCCCTCCCCTCACCCTCCAAACCTGAACCCTTCCCCATCCAGCGCCATCTGATAAATTGCCGCCTCGGGCAACGCCATCGCGTCCCCCCCAATGATCGAACGGGGCTAGGTTTTATTTGGCGTGCGTGCGGCTACAGGGTCTCGGACTGAACTTTGAAGTCTGAAGTGCAGGGATCGACAGCTCAGATAATTGGGCCGCGAAAACACGCGGACGTCAAGAGTCAAGACTCAAGCCTCAAGCCTCAAGCCAGAGCTCTGGCTGTTGTTGCGGACCCAGCGCATGCTTACCAACCAGGAGCAGTTACCTAAGTGCTTAGTGTTGCTTGGTTAGTCCTGCAGCTAATTGTCCGTGATTTCTCGCAGACAGTGGGACACCCTAATTACGCCTGCAGCGCAACCTAGGTACCGACTTACCTACGTCCTTACTTAAGTGGTGGTTACCTATGATGCGGTGGGCTTGACGGGTGGGGCTTCGCGGAGACCGTTCCCGTCGGCTCCCCCTCCAGAGTCCAGAGTCCAGGCGTCTGGCCACTTGCCCCGGCACGTCGCACGGCACATGAATGATGGTGCCTTTCTGCCGCCCCCCTCATCCCAGCCTCCATCTGCCTCTTCGCTATCTACCCGAGTACTCTATTCTATCTACTCTTCTCTACAGGACTCTACGGTTACTCTACGGCTACTCCACGGTTACTTCCTACTCTACGGCTACTCCACGGTTACTTCCTACTCTACTCTACGGTTACTCTATAGTAGCAGCGGAGAAAGCGAACGTTCTCATCAGCCACATGGGCCATCAGAGCTACATGGGCCATCAGAGCTCTACGGGAGCCCGTGACATCGCTGCGATCGTTCGCAAAACTGGGGTTGAAATCCAACTGCAAGCCAGCTATGCACCTGCGCTCCATCGCTCCATGTTCTCCTGTACCCTGCCCTTCGCTTCCCAAGAAAAGAAACACTGATCCATCACTCGGGTCTCAACTATATTCATCGCAGCCGCAACAGCCCCGATGTCCATCGCGAATAGACTTCACGTCGACCAGGCTCCCGATCGAGATTTGTCTGCAACCGTTCCCACCTCACCGCCGTCAACGAACCGGGTGGATTGGCTCTCTTTGCGAGCGGTGAAGATCATCAGCCAAGCTAGAATGTTAACTGCCTCTTGCTCTCACAGACTAGCAAGTGGGGCAAGTCGTTGCAGCCCGATGATATCAAAACGAGTGCATAGGCTAGTGCCCAAGCACTTATTGCCAGCCTCAGAATGAACCCCAGGAGTACGATCTCGACACGCGGGTCCATGGCCGCAGTCCCGTTTGGAAAGGCAGTGGCGGAGGGGGGTCAGGCGCTACCCAATCGAGCACAGGATAAATTATTGCGAGATATGATCTGTGATCTATTATCATGTACGATCAACCCGAACAGATCCGATGCGATCCAGTCACAACCTCTCGCGGCTGCCCTGCGGGCCCACCCGTCACAAGTGCTGGCCTAGCCTTTGCCTCTACGCATCTGATTCGCGCGGTATGCCCACCCGACAGACAAGCCATGGAAATACCTTTCGAGGCAAAAGACCCCCTCGAGTATCCGCCTTCCCCGTTTGGGTGGAGGCAGTCCCAGACGGTACAGACTCTATGTCATCGGCCACGACAAAGTGGTCGTATGTTTGAAAAGGGTATTCGTCCAGCCGGGCTGGTTGAACTTATAAGCTATGGGCCTTCGCCTCTGCTGCACCATCCCGCCTTCCAAGAGCCTGGTTCAGTATTGCCTCATTCCGGTTCCCTCCAAATACTCACTCCGCTGGTCATCTTCCATCATTACACTATCCTCCTGGTCCTCCCGGTCATCCCCCATCACTGCACTATCTTCCTGTTCCTCCTGCTCCTCCTGTAACTATCCCTGATCTCCGCACTTCCCGTCCCACATCATACCCACCATCTCTCTCACCGGTCAGTCACCCGGCACAATGTCCCGCAAAACGGCCACCTTCGTTTGCAACATCTGCGAGGTCCCCTTCCCCTCCTCCGGAGCCCTCGCCTCTCACAAAGAGGATCGCCATGTCCTGGGACGGTTCCTCTGCATATGGTGCGGAAAAGTCTTCCCGCTCAAGATGGAACTGCGGGAGCACGGCCGACACTGTACTTCGGAGCCCGTGGAAAGCGGCACCGAATACTACCGTGCCTCCCAGCCAGAAAGGAAACGTGTCGAGGAAGCTTTTGGCGTCAGACACCAGACGGCTGCGCCCATGAAGCACCGCACGCCCTTTGCATCCTTCAACAATAACAACTATACCACCCAGAACGACAGACAAGTTGGTGGCGGCATGTACACCACGTTCTCGGTGGCACCTGCCAACCACAGCACCGCCGGTTCCTCCCAGCAGACGTACGAAGGGAGCTTCTATCCGCAGAATCCGTATGCGCTCCCCGGACCCGAGGGCATGCAGCACTATGCTCCCACCCACCCGCAGAACTCGGCTAGCTCCTCCTCCTCCGCTTCCGCTTCCCGCTGGATAGAGGAGCAGCAGCAGCCACGTGAGCAGCCGGGGTCCCTCGAGTACCACCAGGCCCAGGCCGCTGCCCAGTACATGGCCGGCTTACCCGTGAGCGAGGAGGAGGAGCAGCAGAGGTACTGGGCCTACGGGTATCCCCCCGCTTCGGGGGCCTGAGAGCCTGATTTGTGGCTCGTGATTCCGTTTCATTTCCCCTCCCCCTTACTAAGTACCTATCCCTTCACGGCCATCATCAGATGTGCGTTCTGCATGTTTACTATGATCCCCTTGGTTCGGTTTGGTTCGGTTAGTCAGGTGTGTATGTATCGTCTATTGGGTTTTTACTCCGCTGGAGTTTGGTGTGCATCGTCTGCATCGTATCGTCTACATTATCATATAGGGTTTTACTCCGCTGGAGTTTGGTGTGCATCGTCTTTACATAGGGTTTTTGCTCCACTGGAGTTGGTTTGCGTTTTGATTTTTGGATTCTTTGGGGCTTGTTCGGATACTCTATGTACCTGCTATATGTGTCCGGACGTTGTGTGTACTCTATACCTATTTGTTATTAGCTCGGTGGGAATCAAATGTGATACCTGTCAGCCATCCAGTCAGATACCTCCTGGTGCATTGCAAATCAAATCGTACTCACTGACTTTTCTCTCGAGCTGTTGCCACCCACCGCCCAACTGCCAAACTGCCAAACCAAACCGCCAACCCTCTAAACGGTGGGGAGAGGGTAGAGTGTGAGAGTCTGATAAGAGAGAGTGAGAGGGTGAGACGGTAGAGGATGAGAGTGGCATGATAACATAACCAGCCTACCTACTACCTAGTCAGTAAGTTAGTAGGCGGTGTAAAGCAGTGAGCACGGTACGATACGATACGGTAGTCCATATAAACCATGTGCACGCATGCCGATGCGTAAGTAGGTACTCCGCGGATATGTGCATACAAGTGCATTACTGGTACGGTAGTCTGGTAGAGTATTCTGGTATTCCTCGATCGCGCCACCGCCACAAGAAGCAAGCAGGAAGAAGCAAGCCACCAGTCTGAATCGCAATCCGCCTAGGTATGTACGGTATTCCATTTGATTCCATCGGATGGGATCGCTCACTCACTCGGGGCGAGTGCGGATTTTTGGTTTCGTTTATTCAGTATTCAGTAATTACTTGCGATCTGTCTAGGTGGATCATGGTAAATTGGTAATGTCTACCCGTTTCCACGCCACTGTACAACTGTCCAACTGTCCAACTGTCCAACTGTCCAACTGTCCAACTGGCTAACCCAACTTTCGTCGGGCGGCTTGATGTGACTCGGGGTGGCTTTTCCTGCTCTCCGCCGTGGTCTGTCCTAACGATGTGAGCGCACCAAGGAAGCAACACTAGGTAGGAGAGAGAGAGAGATCTTTAGTTTATGTCGGATGCAGCCCATCGAAATAACACTAGGAACAGATTCCATCGCATCGATCACTCACTCGGCGCGAGTGCGGAGCTGTGAGTGCAGGCAGAGATAGTGGAGTAGAGTAACTATTTCCAGCCCGAGCCTGAGCCACCGCAAAGCCACAGCGGATAGATGCGTCAGCGGGGGGGCCCCCACGCTTCGCGAAGGATTTCGCGGGTCGGGGCCGAGCGGTTGGAACTTGGCGTTGGGCCGCGTTGGAACACAGTTGGCACACAGTTGGTCCGTGTTGGCAGTGGACGCACAGTTACACCGTCAGTTATACGATTACACAGTGACACAGTTGCACGGTTGAGTTACAGTTACGTTTGAGGGCGGAACACAGTTACACGGTTACGTCTGGGCAGTTACGTCTGGGCAGTTACGTCTGAGCCTTTGAGTGACTGAGCCTTGAGGGCTTGTAGGTAGTGGTACGTACTGTAGATACTGTAGAGTACGTGCGATGTGGAACGTAGACAAGGCTTGTACCGTAGTTTTGACGAGTCGAAGGTTACTCTACCAAAGCTGCAGTTGCAAACTCTCAACTCCCCCGATGACCCGTTCGGCAACCCAGATGTTCAACAGCACGCCACACTTTTTGTGTGTATTGTGGCTCAGTTGACAATATGTATTATGCAGTGTCTCAAATTGTTAACTTGGGGTGGTGTGCCGAACGCGAACGGTCACCCATCGCCCGGAAACTGGGGGTTTCAAACTGTAGATGGTAGCTCGGTTTTGTGTGGTGGATTCAAAATGCCGCTGGTAACTGAACAGGCCGGAAGTCAGTAGGCAGAATGTATTGTACGGCACTCTATGGGTACTGAGGCTGAGTACCCACTATGATACGGTTACTACGGTACCTGTTGCCTACCACCACGATGATATGAGGGGAGCGATATGTAGGATATGTAGGATAGATAGGGGGAGGAGATCATGAGCGATGGACGAGATTAGATAAGGAGGAGTGGCAGGCCGGATCAGGTGGCCCCCAGCAGTGGAGAGATGGCTCTTATGTAGAAGTTGAATAGAACCTCAACTTCTCCATCGTTCTTCATTTTCACCGTTCCCTTTGCTGGGCTACGTCACTAGGCGCCGTACGGCTACTACGGTACAGTTGCTAGCAGCTAGAGAGTGGAGCTAAAAGGTTTCGATGCACTGCGATGCGACGGGGCCGGGGACGGGGATGGGAATGTCCACGCAGGCCTGAACGCGGTGCGGTACGGTGCGGTACTCCGTGTTTATTCCGCCGACGCGGTCCCCCTCCCCCGCCTCCCGTCCGCGTATTCTGCTCGTGTGCGTGTGTAGGCTGTCGTAATATGTAGACTCGTACCGTAGACTCGTACCGCAGGGGAAACGTTGATCCTGGAGACTGGACTCTGGAGTTCCCTGGAGCTCCCTTCCCTGTCTGCCCGGCAGCCTGGCATCCTGCAAAGTTCGGTCGTCTTTGCCCCCATCCCGCCCATCCCATGCCGCCCAAGCACAAATCCCTGGCTGGCCGGCTCGCTCGCTCGCCTCCACACGATACTACGCTCTGCTATGATAGTCTCCACGCGCTGGATAGGGCTTGCAGGGGCACGACGACCCAGCCGGCAACACCGAGCTCCACAACTCGGAGGAGCTGAGAGAAAACGGTGTGAGATCCCGAAGCCGTGCATGGGGTGAGGGAGGGAGGAGGGAGGAGGGAGGAGGGAGGAGGGAGGAGGGAGGAGGAGGGAAGGGAGGAGACGGAGAGGAGAGGTCTTGATCACTCTACTCTCACTCTCACTCTGCTCTGCTGCTCTGTTCTCTGCTCCTACATACTCTTCCTACGTACTCTTCCTGCGTACACACACTCTCTACACACACATACACACATCCCCCCAGAAACCCCCCGCCTCCCCCATTGCGCCCAAACCCCCGACGAAATAAGAACAGGAAGAAGAAGAACAGGAATCATCTGGCCCCCAGAACTGCGTGCGAGAAATTTAACATATTCTGCGTTTGGGCGGAGGAACCAACGTCTGGAAGAAAGGAGTCAAGAGAAAAGAGGAAAGAGAAGGAAGAAAAAAGGCTTATCACGCCCTGCAACTGGGTAAGTACGCATGCACACCCAACCGACCGACCCCAAGGAAGGATGGACCCCCTCCCAACCCAAGCTTTTCCGCGTGTCCCTGTGCCGGGAAACGACCACTGTTGATGGGTGGATGGATGATCTGACTGGCCTGGCCTGGGGCCTGGCCGATGGCGCATCTTTGCGATTACTCAACTGGACTGAACTGAACTGACTGGCAATGCGACGTAGTGCGGAAGAAGGAGAACGAGAAGAAGGGGAAGAAGAAGAAAGTAAAAAAAGAAGCGGAACAGCAGGGAGAAGTGGAAGGGCAGTTACTCACCCAGCAACAACCAGTCCCGCGCCGCTCCTACGCTTCCCGGCCCCACGCCCAGTGCCCACGCCCGCTACGTAACGCAACCACCCACGTCCGCCGCCCACCTCTCGCGCATATCCTCGCGTAGCACCAACGCTCCACCACCACCCACCAACACACACGGCGGGCACCCGTCGTAGTCGTCGTCGTCGTCGTCGTCTTTGTCGCCCGAGGCCATGCATACCAACATATCGCCCGCGTCGCCCGCCTCGGTCTCGGCCTCATCGTCGTCGCGAAAGCGACCCTCCCCCCCCTCCTCCGAGTCCACCACCACCACCACATCCAAGATTCCCGCGCCCACGACGAACCAGGCCACGACGTTCACTACGCCAGAGGGCCGGAAGAATTCCCGCAGCGGCCCGAGCAATGGCTCCACCGTCATCAGCAGGAGCATCCAGGCGTGCAATCGGTGTCGTGCGCGAAAGACTCGATGCGATCAGCAGTTTCCGAGCTGCTCGGCGTGTTCGAAGGCCGGTGTTGAGTGTGTGGGTATCGATGCGGCAACTGGAAGGGAGATTCCGAGGAGTTATGTCGACTGGCTCGAGAAGAGGGTCAAACATCTCGAGATGGAACTGAAATTGGAGCATCATGCGCCGGCACCGCCGGCGGCGGAGGAGGGGGACGGCCGTGGCAGGATTGATCCGATGCTGCAGCCGGCGGCTGCTTGGGGTGAGGAACGGACGGCAGATGGGGGAGGTGGAGGAGGTGGAGGAGGTGGATGCGGAGGCGGAGGTGCTGGGCAGACGGTGGACACGGATGTTGGCAGGATGCAGGCACACAGGGACGATACACCCAGGGACGATAGGGACAGGAACGATAGTGGGGAGAGTAGAGCGCTGCATCTACGACCTGATATCGAGAATCTGGTGAATCAGGTCGGGCTGGTTGGCGTGCAGGGCACAAGTGCTCCGGGTTTCATGGGTGGAAGTTCCGGCATCTCGTAGGTGCTCTTCCTTTTGTGTCTGCGGGAGACACTCCCCGGGGCGTACAACTGACGCAGATTTCCAGTTTTGCACGACTTATGTTCTCGGCGGTCAAATTGACCAACAAGGACTCCGAACGAGGGGCGGGAAATCCTGCGCCGTTGTTTGCGCCTCAGAACTCAGCCCCGGACTCGATGAATACTCCGGATCCCGTCGTGTCGTCAACTGTCGTCCCGCGTAATCGACAGCGTGCAACGCCGTGTCCGTTCCCGACTCGGGAGGTTGCCGAACAGCTGGTCGAAATATACTTCCAACAGGCTAATCCGCAGTTTCCGATCCTGTTCCGGCCGACATTCGACGTCGTGTTCCGAAGGTTATGTGATCGTGTGGAGCTGGAAGGAGGCGCTACAGTGCCCGCCGGCAGCGGCAATCTCCAGACCGACAGGATCCAACACTGGGCGGACCTCTACTTCGCATTCATGTGCTTCGCAATTGCTTCAGCAATGTCTCAGAGCACCGAAAACCTGCCGGAACGGTACCACGCATCTGCGATGCAGTACGTAGACTACCTCTTCATGTCAGCCTCGTTCTCGAGCAATAGGTTGGATGGGCTGAAGGGTGTTTTGCTTCTGGCTCTGTATTCCCTGATGAGACCTTGCAGTCCCGGTACGGAAGAGAAATCTATGCGCGATGCGCGAGTGCTGCTGTGTGGGGTCGGTTGCTGATGTTCGTTTATTCTCTCTCTCTAGGCGTGTGGTATGTCCTTGGATCCGCGTTGCGGCTGGCGGTGGATATGGGGTTGCACCAGGAGAACACGCCGAAAGCGGAGAAGACGTGGGATCCGGTGGCGCTCGACGAACGGCGGCGGTTGTTCTGGTGCACTTATTCCCTCGATCGGCAGGTGTGCGTGTACCTCGGCCGGCCGTTCGGAATGTCGGACGACGCGATAAAGACACCGTTCCCGGTCGACGTGGACGACGAATACATCACGGTCAATGGGATCCTGCCTCAACCGTTAGGCAGAAAGTCATCCCGTACGATCTCGTTGCACATGTTCCGGATCCGGAGGCTGCAGAGTGAAATACAGCAAATCCTCTACCAGACCACCGAGATCCCGCGGAGGTTCCAGTCGCTCGAGGGTTGGCGTAGGGATATGGAGGCGAGACTGCAGCATTGGTACGATACCACGCCAAAATCGCAGGATGAGGCGGGCTGTGGGTTCAACCTTTCGTTTGTTGATCTGAATTATCAACAGACCAGGCTACTGTTGTATGGCCTGTGCCCTGCGGTTCCACTGCCTTCCTCGGAGGCATTCGAGATCATTGCGGACTCGGGGAGTAAGATCATCAAAGCGTACCGCCATCTCCATCGGGAAAAGAGCATAAACTACACCTGGCTAGCTTGCCACAACCTCTTCATGGCCGGTAAAATTCCTCCCATCCCTTCCCATCCCCTCCGCAAACTCACAGATCCACATAGGAACCTCATATCTCTGCGCGCTCTGGCAATCACCTGATGTCCGTGCCGCCACCACGATCGACCAGATCGACTTCCACACACTAGCCTGCATTGACGTGCTCTCGTCGATGATCGAGCGCTGTCCCGCAGCACAGACGTGTCGCGATGTGTTCGACTCCCTCGCCTCCTCGACTGTCCGCCTCTGCAGCGACGAGATAATGCGGCCGCGCTCGCAAACCTCGAACCACTCGCACTCGGGCCACAGAGCAAAGCGGTTCCGTGTCGACTCCCCCGCCCCCCAGCTGGAGTGGGACTACTCGGCCCCGCAGATCCCCGCCAGTCTCGCGAACCTGCTGCATCCTCCGCCCCCTCCGCCTCCGCAACAGCAACAGCAACAGCAACAGCAACAGCAACAGCAACAGCAACAGCAGCAGCAACAACAACAACAACAACAACAACAACAACAGCAACAGCACCAACAAGAGTACAGATACGAATACCCGCAGCAAGAGCTCGACCCCATCTTCCGGATGCCGCTGGGTACCGTCGGCGCGGGCATGGACGGCAGCAGACTTTTCGAGATGATACAGGAAGTGGGAAGCAGCGGGGGCGTGGCGTATGGATTCGGTCTGGAGAATATGGGCGGACATGTGTGGGAGGGCACAGGGAGCGGGTGGGTGTAGTGGGGGTAGGTAATGTGTGACAACGGGAGGGAGGATAGCGGGGGGTGGTTTGATTTGGGAGTTTATGGTAGCTTTTTTTGTTTTTTGCGGTGCGGTTTATTTTCTTCATGGGAAGCGGTTTCTGTGGTTGTAACTATCTGCGGCGGTGGTGGTGATTCGAATAATTGAACAAACAAACCAACGTGAATGGACCATTCGGATTTTTTTCGGGATGGGATGGGAGTGCTCAGTGGAAGGCGGGGTTTTTTTCTTCTACGCATATGAAACTGGAAGAAAGTGATGTGCAGGTAGGTAGATTGATACGGTGTGATCTGCTTTTTTTGCTACCAAGTATGCCGCTATAGTGCATTCCTCGTCGTCCAAGATATTAGTAAGGTACCTAGAGGAGTTGTTCAGAGTTCTAGCTTAGAAGATTCCCAAGCGCCGCTGCCGGTATGTGACTAGCCAGAACTCATCAGCCCCGCCTGTACGTACGCCTGTACTTACTTACCTACATAAGTTCCCCTCGCCATACTCAAGCACGGTCGATCACTCGCCATCACCTCGCCCTCATTGGGAATTATAATGTACTATATAGTAAGTAACACACGCGCATGCCATAGTGGGAAAGCCCGAAGGAAGGATGGAAGTTATGGCTGGCTGGCTGTTACTCCTAACTCCAATATCACCATTCCAAAACAAGTCGTCATTATGAAAAGCAATTTTATTTTATTTATCCGGTATCTCGTCCTTTTCTTCAAAAAATTCACCCACTCCCACCCCACTCTTACCCCAATCCCGCCCGCCCAATCCCGCCCCCTCCCGCCCCCCCTCCCCTTCACGTCGGAAACCTCCACCCAGCCCCATAATCCGCCAACCTCAGCTCCTCCATCGACATGCCCGCCCACGCGGGCGACATGCAGATGCTCTGGTAGGCCACGGTGGGAATGGCGGGATTACGCGAGGCCCAGTACACGCCCGCGAGGTGCGGGTGGGATAGGGGCGTCGTTGGGGCGCCCCGCATGCACGTGGATGGGGACTTGTTGGCTGGGCTGGTGGAGCTGGTGGAGCTGGATGAGATGGCGGGTGGGTGAGGAGGAAACTTGGGGAATGTGAAGGTGGCGGAGGTGGAGGTGGCGGAGGTGGAGGGGGTAGTGGAGGTGGTAGGCGGATCGTTATTGGTGGTGGGATGAGACACTGTTGATGGTGGAAATGTAATGTCGTGGAGGGGAGAGTGAGTTATTTTGATTTAAGAAGTGGTGGTGGTGGTCGTGATGGAGGAGAGGAGGAGTGACGATGGTGGTGGAGGAAGAAGAGTTGTGGTGGAAGCCGAAGAGTTGTGGTGGAGTAAGAAGAATAGGAGTTGTGGAGAAGGAAGAGAAAGAGAAAGGTAAGTCAAGAGAGCAACCTAAAAATGCAGAGCACATGGAGTTCCAAGTCAACACATCACCATCACTCGGCGAATACGCACACTAGGCTAGCCAACACTAGCCAACAGCCTTGGTGCCCAATCAACGACACCAACACCCACACAACCTCGATCCAGCGCTACCTAGCCTAACACGATTCGTTGGGTGTGTAGCCGGAATCAACAACTTCGCTCCCGGAAACAAGCAACGTTGTGTCATTATAGCTCACTCGCGGTCGAGCGAGAACTTCGCTCGTGGGATGGAAGGTAACTAACTCTTACTCCCCACGCCAGCTCTCGTACATACCTACATACCATCGGAGAATGTACTCTATCGGAGGCTTGCCATCCGTCCGTCTGGTAGTGTCACTGCAGCTGTATATACCTAGCATTGGTGGCATTTTTCTTCTCAACGCGTACCTACCTACCTACTAGTAGACGAGGCATCGAGGGTGACAGACAGATACGAGTACCTGTCTTAATAGCTGTTGAAAAGTGGTCTTGGAGTTGATAGGTGCACTGGTGGGAGGAAGGATACAGACGATGATGATGATGATGTAAGAGATATCGACTTAGGTAGATACTTCTTGGTATCAAAGGAGAGTCCCATGCTATCCTCATAGCGCCCCGAAGGCTGCCAGCCACAGCGTTTCCGCAGCAGTCAAACATGGCAGTCAAACAAACAAACGAGTGACATCCCGTGAAGCACACACCTGATACCTACCTAATCAACAGTATGGATTGGTTGTGAAGGGCTGAAACAGTTGCGGTGATGTTGCTTCTATATAAAGGACCCAGTGGGGTTCTAATAGGCCAGCCACTGCATTGTTTGACCAAGAAATTTCAAAAAGTAGTCGACTGGCGTTCAGGGCGGTCACAGAGACGGAGACGGCGGAAGGATGGCAGTGTATTTATGTAGGTGAGGAGTCATACAGAATCTACAGGGTGCTGATGGGTATAATACTGCCACAACCACCACGAAACTCCTCGAGTACAGGTGGGTATCTATAAGTTTGGAGTCAGCTCTAAATCCAGCTCTAAATCCAGCTGGACGGAACGAGTGAACTGCGATAGGAAAGAGATGGCCTGTCATTCGTCATCGACAGGCGCGCACATCATCATGTCCAGTCCAAACTCCAGCTGCCATCATGGAATTGTCCTGAAAATGTGAAATAGCAATGTTAGATAGCAGTTGCAAACACAGAAGCCGCGGCGACATACATAAGACAAAGACAAACCCACAGGGACACGGATCCACGCTTGGGGAGTATTATGGCACGGCTTTTTTTGGCGATATTCGCCACGAGTGACGAAAGTGGCCCGCAGGCTGCTGAGCTGCATGCATGGCCTTCGGGTTTGGTCCTACAGTCCTACATATGCCGCTACATTCCTCGTCGTCCAAGATATTGGTAAGGTACCTAGAGGGGTCGTTCAGGGTTCTAGCTTACATAGAAGACTCCCAACCGCCGCTACCAGTAACCAGGCAGAGCACATCAGCCCCGCCTGTACGTACGCCTGTACTTACTTACATACATAAGTTCCCCTCGCCAGCAGCCATACCCAAGCACAGACGATCACTCACACTCACACTCACCCTCAGCTGTCAAAATCACGAACTTTCGTGTACCGTGCCATGCGAGATCACTCTCTGTCTAGACGCTTCCGGTATCCGTTCCCACCTGAGGTGGCAAGAGGCCACTATTTGAGACATCCCCGCCTTGTTCTACATATGCCTTTCCACCGGGCGCGTGGGGTGGGATTGGGGATTACAACGCACTGCCTATATAGTAGTACGCGCGTATATATGTCACAGTGGGGAAGGAAGATTGGAAGTTATGGCTGTTACGGTTACAATTGGTATCACCATTACAAAACAAAACAAGTCGTCATTACGAAAAGCAATTTTATTTTATTTATTCGTTATCTCGTACTTTTGCAAATTCACCCACTCTCAACCCGCTCCTACCCCACTCTTACCCCAACCCCACCCCCCCACTCCCCCTCCCCTTCATTTCGGAAACCTCCACCCAGCCCCATAATCCGCCAACCTTAGCTCCTCCATCGACATGCCCGCCCACGCGGGCGACATGCAGATAGTCTGGTAGGCCACGGTCGGAATGGCAGGATTACGCGAGGCCCAGTACACGCCCGCGAGGTGCGGGTGGGATAGGGGCGTCGTTGGGGCGCCCTGCATGGACGTGGACGTGGACGTGGACGTGGACTTGTTGGCTGAGCTGGTGGAGGTGGTGGAGCTGGCGGAGCTGGCGGGTGGGTTCGGGGGCAACTTGGGGGATATGGAGGACCGGGAGGAGGAGGCGGTGGAGGTGGTGGAGGTGGTAGGTGGATCGTTATTGGTGGCGGGATGAGACATTGTTGATGGTGTAAATGTAGTGGAGTGGAGTGGAGAGTGAGGTATTGTGACTTGAGAAGTGGTGGTGGTGGTGGTGGTGGTGGTGGTGGTGGTGGTGGTGGTGGTGGTGGTGGTGGTGGAGGAGGAAGAGAAGTGGCGATGGTGGTGGAGGAAGAAGAGTTGTGATGGAAGCCGAAGAGGAAGAAGAGTTGTGGTGGTGGAAGAAGAAGAAGAGTTGTGGTGGTGGAAGAAGAATAGGAGTTGTGGTGGAGGAAGAGGAATGGTAGTGGTGGAAGAGGAAGAGGAGTGGGAGGAGAAGGGAAAGAGGGAAAATGAAACTTACCTATCTACAGAGCGCTTGGAATCCCAAATCAACACATCACCATCACTCGACGAATCGGCACAGGCTAGCCAGTACTAGCCAACAGCCTTGGTGCGCGCAAAATAAAACTGGAAGATCTCTCTCTCAGCCTTGGTGCCCAATCGACGACGCCAACACCCACACCCACAACATTAATCAGGCCCTATGTACATAGCTCGACACGACTCATTGTGTTGAAAATATGCGGTAGTAAAGTACATCAGAAAATGTATCCAGACGATGATGACCTATGTAAGAGATATCGACCTACGTAGATTGCTAGGAAAAGAGAGTACTAGACACATATCGCTGCGCAGGCTGCCAGCCACAGCGTTTTTGCAGCAGTGAAATAAGGCAGTGAAACAAACTAACGAGTGATATCCCGTGACGTGAAGCACACACGTGATAATCAACATTGAACAGGATGGATATTATGAAGGAGTTGAAAGAGTTGTGGTGACGAGAGGATGTTAATTCTACATAAAGGATTCAGTGGAGTTCTAATAGGTCAGCCACTGTATGGAATTGTCAAATAGCAATGTCAAATAGCAGTTGCAAACACGCAGAAGCCGCGGCGACACAAGACAAAGACAAAGCCGCAGAGACACGGATCCACGCTTGAGGATGATATCATTGTACGGCTTTTTTGGCGATCTTCGCCACTAGTGACGAAAGTAGCCGGCAACCGAGCTGCTGAGCTGCATGGCCTTCGGGTTTGGTCCTACCTAAGTATATATGCCGCTACATTCCTCGTCGCCCAAGATATTGGTAAGGTACCTAGAGGAGTCGTTCAGAGTTCTAGCTTAGAAGACTCCCAAGCGCCGTTACCAGTAACCAGGCAGAGCACATCAGCCCCGCCTGTACGCCTGTACTTACTTACATAAGTTCCCCTTGCCATACCTAAGCACGGACGATCACTCACCTTCACCCTCACCCTCAATGGGGATTATAATGCACTATATTATAGCACGCGCGTATGTCACAGTGAGGAAGGAAGGTTGGAAATTATGGCTGGCCGTATAGTTACGACTACAATATCACCATTACAAAACGAGAAGTCAAGAAAATTAAGAAAAAAAGAGATCTATTCGGTATCTAGGAACTTTTAAAGAGGGAAAACAAAGGAACCCACTCTTGCCCAAACCCCGCCCCCTACCTCCACTTCATTTCGGGAAACTTCCAGCCAGCCTTGTAGTCGGCCATTCTCAGCTCCTCCATCGACATGCCCGTCCACTCGGGCGACATGCAGATGTTCTGGTAGACGACGGGGGGAATGGCGGGATCGGGCGAGGCGTAGTACACGCCCTCGAGGCGGGGGTGAAAGGCGGGAGACACTGGAGTGCCCTTTCCAGACGTGTACCTGTTGGCGTCATTGATGTCACTGGCGTCGTCCTCGTCGTCATCGAAGAACGTCGGCGGAATACCCATCTGCCATTGGTGGTGCGTGTCCTGGCTGAAGATGGGACTTGCTTCGGGGGATGATGGAGCACAGATATTGAAGTCACCGGATATGGTAGGAGCATTGAGAGTGTTGGGCCAGTGGCGAGTGCTGGTCGTCGAGCTCGAGGCCGAAGCGCCGCTTCCGGTCACCCAAGAACGTTTCGGAAATAGAAACAGGTTGTCGTTGATATTGTTGGCGGTGGCTGCAACGGTCGTGTTGGCCGTGTTTCCCGTAGTGAAAGGCATACTAGAGCCCTCACCCAGGCTTAGTGCTTCTAGGGCTTCGGTGATAGTCTAAATCTTGCAGATAGCAACTTGGACAGGAAGCTTGGTGACAACCATTAAAAAGTTAGCGGCGAGTAAAATAGGCTTGAACCAGCCCGCAGCTGCAGCCGAGGATGGGCCGGCCGGATTCTGCTGATCGGCTCGACGGAGGTGGTGGAAGCTGCGGGCGTCATCAGCGTCAAGCACGTGTATATATAGGAAATAAATACTGTACGTACCCTTGAAGCCCTCAGCGGAAGTATCGTAGTGTTCGTCTGTCGGCGTCGGACGGCTTTCCGGCTTCGGGGCTCGGTTGTTGGGGAATAGGGTGGACTTGAAGGTGGCGGCGGTGGCGGGGACGGGGATGATACTTAAATCGTCATCGGTGTTGGGATAAGCCATTATTGCTGGTGTAAATGTAATGGGGTGGAGTGGTGAGTGAGTTATTGTGGTTTAAGAAGTGGTGGTGGTGGATGAGGAGTAGCAGTGGTGGTGGTGGACCAGGAGTAGCAGTGGTGGTGGTGGACCAGGAGTAGCAGTGGTGGTGGTGGAAGAAGAATGGGAGTGGCAGTGGAGGATGAGGAGTAGCAGTGGTGGTGGAGGAAGAGGAATGGGAGTGGTGGAGGAGGAAGAGAAGAAGAAGAGAAAGTCAAGAGAGCAACCCTAAAAATACAGAGCACACGAAGTTCCAAGTCAACACATCACCATCACTCGGCGAATTCACAGGCTAGCCAATACTATCCAATAGCCTTTGTGCTCAATCGACAACACCAACACCCACACAACCTCGCTCCAGCCCTACCTAGCCTAATACGACTCGTTTTTTATGTACATAGCCGGAATCAACAACTACGGTCCCGGACACAAGCAACGTCGTGCCATGAAAGTTCACTCGCGGTCGATCGATAACTTCACTCGTGGGCTGGAAAGTGAACAGCCAATAAGTCATGCCTCACCACCTTTACGAATTATAAGCACAAGGTGAGGCACCACTTACCATCATACGAGTACATATCATTGATAGGCGCCGGTATCGAGCTCGCGGTCAGCGGTCGGAGACAGACGGATGGGAGGATGTGCCATTAGAAATATAGTGAAGTACATAAGAAAATGTATCCAGACGATGATGACTTATGTAAGAGATATCGACCCAAGCATCCTGTTATGGAAAGAGAGTCCTATTCACACAGCGCCCCGCAGGCTGCCAGCCCCAGCGTTTTCGCAGCAGTAAACCAAGACGGCGAAAACAAATAGCCGAGTGATATCCTGTGAAGCACACACGTGATAATCAACGTTAGGAATTGATTGTGAAGGGTTGAAAGAGTCGCTTTGACACGGTGATATTGCGGTGATGTTTCTTCTACACAAACGGTTTGGCGGGGGTTCTCATCGCCCAGCCGCCAGCCACATGGTTTTCCCCAAAAATTCCAGAAAGCGGCAGTCGACTGCAGTCCGTGCCGGCAAAATCTTGGACTCTTGTATAGACGGACTGACTATTATTTACACACACACCACTCTCCGGTTTTATGGGCTAGACGAGACTAGACTAGACTACCGGCAGAACTGGATGAGATGGAGGGAGGGAGAGAGGGAGGGAGGGAGCGAAGCCTGGAGACGTTCCGGGCGATCACGGGACGGATCCGGCTAGGGAGGGATGGCGGTGTGGCGGTGCGGCGGTGTGGCGGTGTATTAGGAGAGGAGTCAAATAGAACTTATAGGAGGCTGATGGGTATGCTATTGGTACTATGACAAGGGTACAGTCGATGTGCGGTGCTCGAACGCCGAGGAACAGGAAGAGAACTACTTAGGTGTTCTGTCGACATGATTGGGAGGAAGGAGGTGTAGGACATCATGGCAGAGGCGGAGGGGTTTCAAGTTTGAGATAATTGTGCCGATGACTTCCCGGAAGTTGGAACCGGGGAGGAGAGACCAGCTGGAAAGAGTGGGTTCGCACGGATTGGTATGATATTTATGGTTGGTTGAAACTTGAAATTCAATAGCCAACTCGTACCGTATTTGGTGGTGGATCAGTGGCACGACGACTCGAGAGTGAAGCATTTGGCGAGAGGAATGTGTGTATTATTATGGATCACACCAGATAGCTGAACTTCCGTGTTTCGACTTTCAAGCAGTTGCGCAGACGCAATTCAACACAGGTGACCAGTGACCAGTGACCGCTCCAAGTGACCACCCCAAGTAACCAAACCTGAGTGCTGTCCCCCACGGCCCGTGTAGCTAAAATCAGATGTATCCACAATCCATCTACAAATAGCGCAGCCCTACCTATTCACCAGAACATCGGCTTCATGACCGGTCACCGCAACACCGTTGGGCATCTGGATTCTGACTGTGTCACTCGTCTGTTGAAACTCCCCGTCGTCTACAACCTTTCCCGTCCTCCGTCTTTGTATTACCATCCAGGGCTTTGTCAACCTGTCAACCTGTCAACTCGTCAAGAGAATAGGTACAAGACCCAATCCTATACATACTATACTTAGGTTTCAGCTCTAAATCCAGCTCTAAATCTACCTGGATGTCGGATGGATGTCCGATGGACGGGACTTGACGAGCGAATGGTATTCGTCGACAGGCGGGCACATCATGCCCAGCTGCCGTCATGGGAATGTCAAATAGCGATTGCAAACACAGAAGTCGTGGCGATATAAGATATTAATAATTGATATAGTAGAGCAGTCATCCACAGCTCTACTATGATAGCTTAGAAGACTCTTGAGTAAGTGCCACTACCTACCAGACAAAGCACTCAGCCCCGCCTGCATGTACCTACACAAGTTCCCCCGAGCCATGACCGATCACTCACCCTCACCCTCGCCCTCAGCCACAGCCACAGCCACTCGCCACGTGGACAGTGACTCCGCAACCAAACGCCGCTTACTCCACGCCCCCCATCAGCCATCGCCGACAGATAAAAACACTCACATTGATGCTGACAACGTCCGACTCCGTCACTGTACTGTACCGTACCGCAAGTTCTGATCTGACGTGACACCGGCGGCGGTTACGTGATTGAGAATTTGACATACTGTAGACATGCACATTTCGACCATACTTGGGCCATTCTCCTGGGGGGGGGAGGGAGGGATCGCAATGTTCAAAATTCAAATCCGAGATTGCGTTTTTTTTTACTTTGGAAAGCGGGGATGCGGAATCTGCAGGTAGAGTTTCCCACGCAGGAATAACAATCCAACGACGAGCCAGCCAGCCGGTCAATTGGCTTTCCCTAGGGTCCCAGCGAGTGTTCGATGGAAACTTCCATTCGGCACATACTTTGGGTAGAGTATGTATCAGCGGTGGTGAAACATGATTGGCGGCGGGGGGGCGGCGGCGGGGGGACATGACATGTGGGTATGTGGGCGGGGGGGGCGGCGGCGGGGGGACATGACATGTGGGTATGTGGGCGGGGGGGGGGCGGCGGCGGGGGGACATGACATGTGGGTATGTGGGCGGGGGGTGGGTAGGAGAAGAGAGTGCTGACCAGTGCATGCAAGCAAGGTCAGCAACGAATACTGTATTGTACATATTCCACTATGTAGGGCAGCCATGACCCGTCTATACCCGTACATACTCTACTTACAGATGTAGGAAGTGTGTAGGAAGTGTGTAGACTTCCAAAGATCAAGAAATCAAGAGTCAAGAATCAAGAATCAAGAATCAAGATCGGTATCCGGCAGGATGCTTTGGCCATTGAGCCCAGCCCACAGCCAGCCCATAGTCAATCAAGCCCGCCCATCCATCCATCCATCCATCTCTCTCCCAGTCTCAGCCCTCAGTCCTACGCAAGGACCACCAGAGTCCAGAGTCCAGACAGCCCATCCATCCCCCCTATGCATCCACATCTCTCTTTCAGCCCTACGGAAAGACGTGATTTCAGCCTCCAGAATCAAGATTCCAGATTTTAGATTTCCAGATTTTAGATTTTTTAGACAGCCCACGGTCACACTGTCACTGTCACACGGGTACACGGGCACACCCGCCTCTACTAGTGTTTTGTCCTCCTTCCGGGGAGCTTCCGGGGCGATCATTGGCACATACTCTACATAGCTGTCTGCGGAACAGAATTGGGGGGCGGGCCTCCCGCCCCATCCCATCACGAACCCCGTATGTAATAGGGAACTAGCTACTCTACAAAGACCACCAGCATCCTGAGGAGGAGAAGGGGAAGAGCAGATCGTCTGTGTTCATCATACCATATGCTAAGTAATCTTCTCCGCGATGACCGCACGCACAGTTTCGCTTGTAAGGCTGAAAGTTGCACCTGCGCTCTGTTTGCGGGGGATGGGGGGGAGGGGGGATCTAGAACCGGGAGCACGCGGAGGAGGCATATCGTTTTCAGCATGTAGGGAGTGGTGGTTGTGGTCATGATTGTGGTGGAGGTGGAGGTAAAGGTGGAGGAAGTGGTGGAGGTGGTGGAGGATAGAAGTGGGGGAAGGGGAGGATGACATTTCGTTCTCAGCCCATCCATCCATCCCACTGCCCAAATGCCCACGACCAAAGCGGTGCGGAACACAGTAGAGCAACTAGAGTTGAGAGAGAGAAGATGTCGATTTCAATTGTTCTCACCATTTCTGGCCGCGCTGCACGCACCACCCGCACCGCACACACATTCCCCCATGATGTTTCAGCTGCAAGACGCTTCGCCAAATTAGAGTCGAAGGTAGGTCCTCTATGATGTCTCTCGTTCACCAGAGGGCTGGGTGGTTTTTATGTATAGTAGTACGTAGAGGGCATGGCCTCGAGTGCGGTCCAACTAAAGTTTTTGGGGTAACTCTTACGCCGGAAGCTGTCTAGACTGGTTGCGAGTAGTTACCGACATCTGACGGGCAGGGAGGGCCACGCACGCAGAGACAAGACTTGTCGGGGAAGGGGGGGGGGGGGGGGGGGGGGGGGCGGAGAGGGGAGCGTGTGGAAGGATGGATGGGCTGAGGACAGAATAGCGAGAGAGCGACTGGCCAACGACAGGCGAGGGAGGCGCAACTTGTGGGACTTCCGCACTGACTGGCTGGCTGGCCGCTGGCGGGGCTGGTTGGGCTGGGCTGGCTGGCTGCAGGGTAGGCGCGGGGGGAGCTTGGAATTGTGCTCGATTGTGCTTGGAAAGTGTGCTTGGAACTGTGCTTGGAGGGGACGAGCCAATTTGGAATGGCAGCAGTCCCGGTTCGTGCGAAGTTGTCCATTTCGAGTTATATTCAGAGTGAATAACACAATAAGCCCGATGCCGAGAGCCCCAATGCAGTGTGGTCGGCGTGCTGCCCAGCGTCCCGGGGTTGGCTGCACTAAAGTAACTCGAGCAACCTTACTGTCGCTCGTCTTCGTCGTCGCGCGCTTTAAAGGGAGCCGGTCTGGCCAGCCGTGCGAATCTGATCTTCAACTCAAAATCAAAATCAAATCAATATCAAAAATCAGAAATCAAAAATCACGCTGCCCAAACACGGCAACTGTGGTAACTACGGCAACTACGGTACTATACACTCGATACGCAGACTCTCGTCTGCTCTGCCAGTTCAGCACACATCTCCACCGCCAGCTCCCCCGTCATTGGCGTTCGCTCCGACCACTCGCCATACTCTGGCCCTACACCGCCACCCGTCCGCCCCCAACACTCGCCCGCCGACACCCACAACAAAACACGGGATGGCCTCATACCAGCACCAGCAGCCGCCATTCTATGGCCAGCACGGCGGCGGCCCACAGTTCCCGCCCACGCCGAACCCGCAGGACGACTTCGCGATGGTTGGCACCCCAGCGCAGCCCCTGCTCCCGCCCCGCTTCACCACCACACCCCTTGCTAACCCCTCTCCGTCGCTCTATGTAGCCGTACTATGACGCCTCCTTCGCCGCCTCCTTCGGCCACCCCTTCGACCTCACGGGCGCCACCGGCACGCACGCCTCCGGAGGCATCCCGGCCATGGCGCGCGGGCCCTCGCCCACCCACGAGGGCAGCGCGAGCAGCACCGGCAGCGGCCACAACTCGCGGGGCGGCCGCGGGTCGAGCGAGGAGAAAGAACTGACGCCCGGGCAGAAGCGACGGAAGGAGCAGAACCGCGCCGCGTACTTCCCCCCTGCCTCCCCCTCTCCCCACCCCCCCCCCCCCCCCCCCCCCGCCGCACTAGACAGCTAACACACCCCCAGACAACGCGCGTTCCGCGAGCGCAAAGAGCGCCACGTCAAAGAGCTCGAGCAGCGGCTGGCGTCGCTGGAGCAAGCGAACACGCGGGCCGCCGTGGAGAACGACAAGCTCAAGGCGGCGCTGGAGAAGACACGGCTCGAGAACCGTTTGCTGCACGAGAACACGATTCGCGGCAGCGGCAGCAGCGGGAGCTTGGGCGGCGGCAGTGGCGGGCGGCACTCCCCGCCGCCTGAAGTCGGCCCCATGGCGTTCAAACCGCTGGACCCAGAATCGCTGCGCTCCAACCCGCCAGCGAAGTTTACCTCGCCGATATTTGGGCAGCACCCGAACCGCGGGCCGATCCATCGCATCACCACCTCACCGAGCACGGGCGAGAAGCTGCTCGGCGCGGGCGCCGCCTGGGACCTTATCATGTGCCACCCGCTTTATGAACAAGGCCTCGTCGATATTGGTGATATCAGCGAGAGGCTAAAGACCCTCGCTCGATGTGATGGGCAGGGCCCCGTCTTCGAGGAGAGTATCATCCTCGATGTTATACAGGCTAGTCGTGGCAGTGGGAGGGACGAGCTGCTCGTCGATAGTGGGGCACGCGATTATTAGGCGGGCCGGCGGGCGGGATTGTGCGGACTTGGAACTTGGAACTTGGAACTTGGAACTTGGAACTTGGGACTTGGGACCGGGTGTTGGATAGGTTGGGATGGGATGGAGATTGGCGCCACTTCGTTTTTTTTCTTCTTTTTTTCTTCTTTTTTTCTTCTTTTTTTGTTTCTGCTTTTCTTGACCTTTCTGTCGTGTTTTCTGATTCTTTCGTTATGGATACCTTGCTTCATATGCTTACTTTTTCATCTGATCTGATCTGATTCACTTTTCTCTCTCGAGTCTGAGGAAAACAGTCAACAGTCAAAACGTCAACACTTCAACAGTCGTCAAATCGACAAATCGTTCTGACACTTCTGGCACTTCTGGCACTTCTGGCACTTCTGGCACTTCTGGCACTTCTGGCACTTCTGGCACTTCTGGCACTTCTGGCACTTCTGGCACTTCTAGCACTTCTGGCACTTCTGGCACTTCTGGCACTTCTGGCACTTCTGGCACTTCTGGCACTTCTGGCACTTCTGGCACTTCTGGCACTTCTGGCACTTCTGGCACTTCTAGCACTTCTGGCACTTCTGGCACTTCTGGCACTTCTGGCACTTCTGGCACTTCTGGCACTTCTGGCACTTCTACTCTACATACGGTACTCCTCACTCACTGTGTATCTACCTCCACCAAGAGTAGCTGTGGATATATCCCCCTCCCCTGCAATGGGTGGTGAGCCGGGGTAACCACATATTCATCTTTTCTTCTTGCACTGCCTCACTCGTTTAACTTTAGAGTCTTAGAGTCGGTACATAACGACAACTCTAAGTATGGTTGGGGACGCCTATAACCGGAGTGAATTGCGACATTCATTTTGGCTGACAAATCACGAGTGATTATAGTGTGTCTACGCCAAAAATGGGGGGTTAATAAGTGCGCCGCAGGTAATTTTTCGAATACAGAGCAAGTAATTTTCGTAATTATGAAGATTTTTGGGCCGTATGGCCCCATTTTTGACCTATTTGGATGTGTTCTGAAGAGGTCCAAGTCGAATAGCACTCATGCGCGAGCTCAGTTTGGATGAGCAAGGATCAATCCGCGCCAAGGCTCGAATAAGGCTCACTATATGTCACTCCTATCACCGCTGTGGGAAATTAAAAGAGTGCCAGAGCCTTAGTGCATGCTATTATTTGCGACGTTCCAAAATCCTGCCCATACAAATCAATTCTTTTCAACCCGCTTAAATTAATTCATCACGCTTTATATTTTTATTTCGCTTCTATGGCGACCTACTTTAATCCTTCCTCTATCATGCTATAGAGCTCTTTTAATTTTACTGGGTGTTGAGGTTGAGTTAAACCGGGGGTGGAGTTGGGCATTTTTTCACTCCTATTTTAGGTGTCCCCAACCATATAACCTCCCTACATAATCTACCGCATCTTCGAAATTGCTTCGTGCGAGTACATAGTGCATTGATGGGGGGGGAGGGAGGGGCGACGATGATGATGACGGGCGGCATCGTGCACGGGGAATCACTCGTCTGCGCTCTCGGTCTGCTCTGCGGTCTCGGTCTCGATAGGTGTAGTAAGGGTGAATGTTCTGGTCTTTTATAGCAGAGGAGGTACATAGCAGTAGTAAACAGACATGCATATCGGTCTAGACAACTCCCACCATATAAACAACTCAAGGAAAATGGTAATCAGAAGATGAACCTGAAGCGAAAAACAAAACAAACAGAAGCATGTTCTATCAATACAATACGCGTCCGCCTCTCATCCACGGTACATACATGGTATCTATCTCCAAGATCCAGATACAAGCACCACCATCCCCGGGCCCCCTGTACTATATCATATTCTATCATACTCCCTCCAGCTCTTCAACGGCAGAGCGCTCAGCCTCGTCGCGGCGGGCTTGATATATCCCCAGAAGGTAACAACACCGATGAGTATACACAACACGTTCGTGACATAGTACCCGTCCTGCTGGATGACACATTTGCCGCCCTGGTCTATGCAGCGGTGCTTATCGAGTTCGAGGGCGCAGCTGAACTCCGCAAACGGGCTGGGGAAGGTGGAGGTCGGCTTCTCTGGCGGGAAACACGTCGCCGTCGTGAAGTAGTCGACTAGCTTCAGCACGAAGATCCGCGGGAAGGTCCCGCCGAGGTTGGAGACGCTGTGGTGGGTGGGGGGTTAGTAAGCGATGATGGGGAGGGCGGGGGGAAGGGGGACGTACGTGGCTAGGAGCGTCATGTACGTTCCGCCGATCTCGGGGTCGGCAATCTTTGCGTGGAACGCAGAGATGGCGACGAACATGACGGTGCCGGCGAAGGTGGAGAAAATGTGCTCTGCGATGACGACGAGGAGGTACCAGCTCTCGACCACGCCGTCTTTGGGGAAGATGTACACCGTGATCTGGGCGAGTACGGCGGCGATGAGGCGGCCGACGAAGCCCCACATCCACAGCTTCATCGGCGGGAAGTACGCACACCATTTACCAGCGTAGTAGCCGAGGGCGATCTCGAACGGGAAGTCGATCAGCACCGTCAGTGCCATGTCTTCCTGCGTGAAACCCTTGTCGAGCAGCTTGAGGTTGGTCACGGCGTCGTTCGCCTGGAAGCCGATCTTGGAGATCAGATGGATGATCACGAACGTCTGGATGTCTGTTGTCATGTGTCAGCATTGTGCCATGTATTTTCATAATAGCCTGGGAGGGTCGGGTACGCTTGAGCTTGAGGACGCTCCACATGGTCTTGTAGACGCTAGCGATGCCATCACGGTTGCTGGTTTTCTCTTCCTTCTTGAGGACCGCGAGACCAATCGTAACAAGCAGGTAGGCCCATCCCCAGAACTGGAGGTAGCCTCCAAGCGTGAAGAGGCCGTTCTTGAGGGGTGTCGAGCGGAAGTAGTGGTTCGAAAAGTCGGCCGAATTGAAGGCGAGGAACACGGTGTTCGACAAGAATTGGCCGGCGGTAAGTCCGACGGTCTGAGCGGTCGACGCATACGAGAGGTTCTCGGGGGATATCAGAGTTAACGCCCAGCCTGTCAAAGCACGTTAGTCATACGATCTCGAGCCAGATGGCGCCATGAAACCCGGGGTGCATATATGGGCTGCAGGCGATAGATGGCGCGGGTAATAGCCTCACGCTCGGAGGGAGAGGAAGGAAACATGCATACCGTCCACCGCAACGTCCTGCGTCGCGCAGAGCATCACCAAGCAAAAGAACACCCATGTGAAGAAGTAGAGCCTCGTGTTCGCCTCTTCCATCATCTTCTCCGCCTGCCCGCCCAACCAGAGCAACATGATGGCGCTGACCGCCTGCACCGGAACGATCCAACTCTTGCGCCGGCCCATCCGCGGGCTCCAGATTGCGTCGACGATCGGCGACCATAACAACTTCATCGAGTACGGATACGACGCCAGTGTGAACACGCCAATCTCGCCGTACGAGAGCTTCGACTTGAGTAGGAACGGCACTGAGCCCATCGCCAGCCCCATCGGCACGCCCTGCAGGAAGTAGAGCAGCACCAGCAGGAAGAAGTTGCGCCTATCCTTTGGCGACAGGTCCATCAGCGACGCGGCCGCGGGCTTCGACACATCGTGATCGTGATCGAGCGAGAAGGATTCCCGAGCGATGAGGTGTTCCGTCTGCGCGGCCGAGGATTCCCCACCTTCCACCCCTACCTTCCCGCGCCGGAACTCGACCGACGACGAGGAATTCATGCCCTTGCGCTTGCCGGATGATGAGCCACCCCCTCGTCTGCTACGATTCATTCTCTCTCCCGATCGGACCGAAGCGGTGGTGGTGCTGCTGCTGGAGTCGGTGTCGTCAGTGTCTTCTACGTCTGGGTCGTACAGGGGCTGAAGTTCAAAGTCCTGAGTGCTGGTCCTGTTCGTCCGGAAGTAATTGTGGTCGGTGCTGGTAACGTGGAGAGGAGAGAAAGACATGCACAGCACTGAGTCTAGAGTAGATGTGGATCTCCTTTGCTTCTAAGCTGCTCCCAAGCAACTAGGTAGGTGGAGATATCTAGGCCCTTCGAGAGGTAGTTGGGCGAGCGCGTCAAGACAGGGATTCGTTTAATGCTCCACCGTGTTCAGATGATGTGGTAGCAGGGACTAGTTTGGAGTAAGTAGTCAGAGTTTAGCAGAGGATTTCGACGAGGGTCCGGATCGGAAACGACGGGTGAGACAGATAAGATAAGATTTGATCGGAGATTTGAATGAGAACGACGCCGGGACCACGGTACTAGGTATACGCACGATTGGCGATTGGGCAAGGACGATCTTGGTCGGGTCCCAGAAGCATGTCTATACTCTGCAGAGGCGTGGCAATCGCAGCTATGTTTACGCCTTACTCCCTTCCGGTGGTTCACATGCATACAGTGGCTATCATCGGCCCTGCCACTCCATTGACTCTGCTAGGCGGTACATACAGCTGTTACAGACCGTCTTGGGTTCCCAGCTATCCGTCTGGTGGGTCGCTCCTTATACTCGCGATCATTGCAGCGCAAACTCGGTACAGTGTGCGGTCTCGTGCGATAGGTTGTGGGCACCTCCCTTTTCCGGAAGCGGAAGCAAAGGAAGCTCACGGTGGAGGCGGGCGTGCGTCTGATACGAACCATGTACAGCTCAGCAGCACTATTGGTGAGTGATCTTTGATGAATGATATCAATGGGAACGTGTATCTATGCTCTAGGTAGTACCAGCTTATACTTTCCAACCATGTTGGTGGATCTCAAGATGGTCAACGAACGGGCTTCCATCCTCTTGCGCACCCGCCTCACGGAATATCACTTCGATTTGACCGCCGGAGCACGCCAAGGACCCTGCCAATCCCGCGTCTCCAGGATGTGCACATCCACGACCGCACATCCACCCGCAATGTCTCCATCGGCAGCATCATCACCGCAGAAATGGCCGTCACCGACACCGCCACATCCGACGCGCTCCCCTTCCACGAGCCGCCCATAACGCAAATCCTCGTGCACGTCTCCTTCCTCCTGCTCCTCAACATCGTCAACCACCTTCTCGATGCGCTTACCTATTGCGGGCTGGTCGGGCAAGTGCTCCTCGGCGTATTCTGGGGCACACCACTCGGCGGCCTCCTCCCACGCACAACCGAGAGCACCGTCGTAACACTCGGCTACCTGGGGCTGATCCTGATCGTGTACGAGGGCGGGCTGAACACCGCTCTGCGGCCGTTGATGCAGAATCTCGTGCTCTCGAGCATCGTCGCGGCCACTGGCATCGCGCTTCCGATCGCACTGTCGTTTCTACTGGGACCCCTGGCGGGCGCGACGAGCTTGCAGTGCTTTGCGGCCGGCGCTGCCCTCTCCGCAACGAGTCTGGGTACCACGTTTACCATCCTGGCCAGCGCGGGCATGGCGGATACGCGTTTGGGCACTGTGCTCACCAGCGCGGCTATGATGGATGATGTTATCGGGCTGGTGATGATTCAGGTTGTGGCGTCGCTTGGTGGGAGTGGGGGTAATGTCAGCGGGGAGGCGGTGGCAAGGCCGGTGGGTGCTAGTGTTGGGCTGTTGATTGCGGTTGTGATTGGGGGGTGGGGCCTGAAACGGACGCTGGGGACAGTCGAAGTGAAGGGGTGGGGGGAAACGCTGAAGGCGAAGGTGGTAATGCAGACGGCGATGCTACTCGCCGTGGTGACGGCGGCGAGTTACGCTGGTGCTTCGGTGCTTTTTGCGGCCTTTTTGGCGGGTGCTGCGGTGGGCTGGTGGGATGATGTCCGCACGAGAGGGAAAACGGGTGATAGAGTCTCTGGGGTACATGTCTTCGAGACCTATTACTCCCCCATCAACAGGCGGCTTTTGGCACCGTTCTTCTTCGTAAGTACCACCCACGCAGCAGTTTCTGAGGATGCCTTCTGATCAGCGACAGGCATCAATTGGCTTTTCGATCCCAATCCGCCAGATGTTCGCCGCCACAACCGTCTGGAAGGGGCTGGTCTACTCCCTCCTGATGGTGCTCGGAAAACTAGCTACAGGCGTCTGGCTCCTCCCCGTATCGCCGGTGCTGACAACGGTATCGCAACGGCTCCGCGAATTGCGGAAGCTGGGCGTCACACCCGCACCTCCAATTCCCCATACTCCCCAAAGCACTCCCACTACTACTACCACCGAACCCAAATCGTCGGAGGCCGCTTCCCCCGCAATCGCCGCCGCAGAAGACGCTAAACCCCCGAAATCCCTCTACCCAGCCTCGATTCTTGGGCTAGCCATGGTGGCGCGCGGAGAAGTTGCATTCCTTATCGCATCCGTGGCCCAGTCCTCGGGGATATTTGATTCCTCCGAGGGATTGTATCTCATTGTCGTCTGGGCCGCCATGGTGTGCACCATTGCCGGCCCGCTGGGCGTGGGCAGTCTTGTGCGCCGGGTGAAGGCGCTGGAGAAGACGCGCGCTGATACACGAGGCAATGGAGGTGTCAGTGTGTTGGGTGTTTGGGGGGTTAGTTGATGCATGTACACAAGAGAGAGAGAACATCAATTTATTGTCGCATGCGGCCTTACGAGACTATGGCGACCAACCGATGTATGTAAACGGAGATCATATGCGAGGAATATATAGAGTCCGAGTGTTTATCCGTGATCCCGGGTCGAGAGCCAAACGCCCAATTTCGATCCCGACCATCCGGTAAAATATCCCGACGTTAAGCCATAGTTAACCTCACCCTCGTTTTACATACCTACCACGGCCCCCCTCCCTCTCGTAGATCGTTCGCCGGAACCCATTCCGTCCGTCTCACAGTCCTACATATGTACTTACTTTCTTACTTGCACGCACGCATAGAAGGTCGTATTCGCTTCTTCAGCCGGGATGTTTTGCCTATGTAATCTACCGGAAAATACGAAGATATGCTTGAACGGCTCGTTAAACTGAAACGCGGCACCGTGACCCCGTGGTCCGACAGAACCGTTGCGCCGTCCATGCGCCTCTCACACAGCGCCGGAGTCCGGCGGATCAGCAGGATCTGTGCCACGGAAGGGCGGGCGGGCGGCACCTGAGGGGGATCAAAGGGATGAAAGGGAGGGAAGAATGATGGAAGGGATGGAAGGAGGGAGGGAAATATATAGCCTACACATGCCCACCTCCTCGAAAGCAAGCAAGCAAGACGGAAATAAAATAAAATAAGAAACTATGTTGGCTGACAGCGAAATCGCGCTCCTCCTCGTGATCGGAAACTTCTTGTCGGCGTGCTGGAGCTACTTCTGCATCGTGTCCTCACTGAACCAGTACCGGTTCATGCGGCGTGAAGAGGTGGTCTGGGTATGTATCTCCTCTCCCCCCTCTCCCCCCAAAACCCTCCCCTCTGTGTTGTCTTGTTTGCTCACGATGGATACATAGTATGCGCTGTGGTACAGCTGCACCACCTACGCCTTCCTCGTGTCGGTCACGAATCTGGGCGTGGCGGCGTACGTAGCGGTGCGCCTCGGGTGGCGGGGAAAGGTCTTTGGGCGGGGGAGGGTGGCGCTACGGATTCTCGGGGCGGCGGTGGCAGCGGTACTGGGGGCTATGCTGTGTTTCGTGCCGTTACGGATGACCATGATGCAGGCTGAGCGGGCGGGGGTGGGGCATTTGGGATGAGATGAGATGGGATGGGATGGGATTTGTTTTTGCTCGGGCGTTTGGGTGTACTTAACCAAGGAGTATTTATATTATACGGTTCAATTCATTGACTGGCGGTTTACAAAGGACGTATCCGCGCACTAACCGCCTCCTTCACGCCGAGCGTCAACACGGCGGCCTTCTGCGCCTCACCCACCGCCTCCTCCAGCGGCAGACCACGGACCATAGCGGCCACCAGAACGCCGAGGAACGTATCCCCCGCGCCATTAACGCTTTGCACGCCGTCCACTCCCAGCTTCTCAGCGGCAAAATACCTCACCTCGACACCACCCACCTCCTCTCCCTCCCGTGCCTCCACAACAACACTCTCCCTAGACCTCCGCGGCTTCTCGCCCACCTCCAGCAGGCGCACAACAATGACGCCCTGCTCGCCCAGCTTAACGAACAGCCGTGGGATGTACGGCAGCAGCGACACCGCCTTCTGGACGATTCCGCTCTCGGAGAGGTCGACGCCGGTGCGCGCCGCCAGTTGGTCCACGCGGTCGCGGAACCCGCTGTCGATCGTGAGTGCATCGATCGTGGGCCACCACGGCAGCGACGTAGCGTAGAGAATAGCTCCGCCGCTGTCGCCGCAGAGTACATGCTGTCTAGCTCGTGGATGTTGGGCGCCGCAAGGTACAGCGCACATGAAGGGTGCGAGGGAAGCGTGGCGTGGAAGATGTGTGCTGATTTTGCGGTGGAGGTGGGTTCGAAGATGGCTGGTGGGCACTCACTCGTTAGCTGTATGCACACGGTATCACTCGGGTTAGGAGGGACCTTTGATCCCGGATTTGAGACAGTATTCGAGCACTCCCTTTGTCGTCTGCTGTGATAGATTCCCGTCGAGAACCACCCACTCCGCATTCGCAGCTTTAATCACCTCGGTGACATCTGCTGTCCCCAGGTGCTCGATGACCCTCATGTCCGCACTAGCAACGAACAGCCCGCCGTTGGCATCGTTGACGGCAACATACCTCGCTGTAGCGCGGGCCGGGTCGGTGAAGATTCCCTCGGTATCCATCCCGCGCTCCTGTACGCGCTCGCGCACCCATGAGCCGGCAAGGTCTGCGCCGACGGAGGATACTAAGCGGGTCCGCACGCCGGAGAGGTGCAGGGCGTAGGCAACGTTATTGCCGACGCCGCCGAGGGACTCGGTGATGGTAGACGGGTTGGAGGTGTGCAGACTTGGAGTCGGCGAGGAAGTGTCGCAGTTTACGTCTACGGCTACACCGCCGACTACGACCACCTCTGGGGGCGGCGATGGAACTACGGGGTTTGCCTCCTCCTTCGGGCGTATCTGCGAGGGTGGGATGTGCGGCATATGTGTCTGCCTACGCTCGCTAAATACAAAACAATCAGGACCCATCGGTTACAGTGGACGAAACTAAAAGCCAGCAGAATTCCCAGACCCAGTGCCCTCAAGCCTTGCCAGTTCTACGGCGACCTTTGCTCCCATCGCAGCGTTGTTCAGTATCAGCCCACGATTGGCCTCGATGCTGCGACCACCGGTGCGCTTGAGTATGTCGTTGAGGATGAACGGCGTGACGTCTTTCCCGCTGGACTTCCCTTCCGCCACTTTCACCGACTCGGCAATGATGGACTGTATCTCCTCGTTCGGGATCTCGTATGCCGCCGGAATGGGATTGGTGAAGAGGTGGCCCGAGGTGAGGCCAAGGGAATGGCTTGCGTCTGGGGGGCACAGCACTCATGAGCACCCCTCACCATGGACAGTCACTCATTCATCGAACTCACAGATAATCCTGGCGGCCTCGTTCGCATCTTCCACCACGCTCGGCGCCTTGATACCACACCCTCTACTCCAAAACGCCGGAAACTCGACCACCTCCCCGGCATCCCTCCCATCCCTGAACGTGCCGACATAGACCCCCTCGGTCTCCAGATACTCCAGTGTCCGTGGCAGATCCAGGAACGCTTTGGAGCCCGCACATACAACAGCGACAGGCGTGCGTCCCAACTCCGTCAGATCCGCAGAAACATCCATGGTATTCTGAACACCCCTGTGGACGCCGCCCAGGCCACCAGTCGCGAATACCTTAATCCCGGCGAGGTGCGCAAGGACACTCGTGCCCGCGATCGTCGTGCCACCGATCTTCGTCGCGCCCGCGCCAGCAAGGAGATATCCCAGGTCTCGTCTACTCACCTTAGCGGTACCGCTCTTCCCCGCTGCGTCAGCGAGCTGCTCGAGCTCCTTCGCCTCGAGCCCGATCCGCGCCTTGCCGTTGAGGATGCAGATGGTGGCGGGGACTGCGCCGTTCGCGCGGATGACGGCCTCGATCTCGCGCGCGAGCGAGAGGTTCGCCGGGTGCGGGAAGCCGTGCGTGTAGATTGCGGATTCGAGCGCGACGACGGGATGTCCGGCCGACAGCGCCGATTGCACTTCCGGCGTGATCGACAGGTATTGCGATAATCGCGAGGAGGCGCGGAGGGTAGAGTAGTAACGCGGAGGGGCGCGGAGGCCGCGGCGGAAGAGGAGGGAGCGCATTGGGGTGGTTGGTGGTGGGTGGGGTGGTGTGGAGTGGATCAAGAGTCGTGGGACCCTGGAGGGCCCGTTTGTCGGCAGTCTCCGATGTCACGAGTGCGGAGACTAACGAGCTTCGACACCAGCTTCTAGAAGCTCAGATGATAGGCTTTGAAGATTACACCGGGACTTTTCCATAAAGCTACAGAGCAAAAAACCCAAACACGAAAAGGCAAAAGAAAAAGGAAAACCCGACCCTGCGAACCCCTAAAAACTAACAGCGGCCCTCTATTTTCGATCCTCACATCGATCTTGCTGACTATCCACGAAAACACGAATACCGTCGACAGCGCAGTGAAGATGACGAATGGCTTCCGGAAGCCAGCGGTCTTGGGCAGATGGTAGGTCACGATCAGCTCCTTGTGGTGCTGCTCGTCAACTACGTTGGAAAAGCGCAACTTGAAGGCGGTGCGGCCAATAGTGTCCATGAACGTCTTGTGGAGGAAGTGCTCCTCTCCAATGATGGGGATGGGGGATGAGTATTTGACGTCGCTGGAACGGTGTTAGATATGGGTTGGGGTTGATAGGTGTGGGTTGGTGACTTACGTGGCACCTTCGGGCAAGATCACCCTAATCTCGACATCGCCGTAGACGACGGGCTCCTTAGGCCCCTCCAACAGCGGAACCCTGAGCACGAAATCCTCGCCATTGGGCTTCGCCCGGACGAACTCCCTCAGATCGTGGTTTCCACCCAAGGGTGAAGGTGTAGTTCCAACCACCAAACACCGGATACCTCGGCTTGATCTCCAGATGCGACTCGCGCATGTTGCTGCGGAAGCGGGAAGTCGAAACATTTCCAATCTCATCGGTGAAGTAAGGGCCGATCGAGCCCACCTTCAAGTTGTAAGTGAGGGCCTTGATCGCAGACGTCGGGGGACCGTAGTAGCTGGCCGCCGCCCACTTGACACGCGAGAACTGGTTCTTAAGCTTCGCCGCGGCATTGGTCATGACGTATTTCTCCTCGAAAGCGATGTTGCCGCCCCAATGGGAGACCTCGATATCGCGCGTGAGCTTCTCCATCACGATGACGGGATGCGTGTACTCGTATCTGATCTTAACGGTCTTTCCGGCGCCGCTCGACGGCTTCACGTCCTCGTAGGGACCGTACGTGAACGCTGAGCCGACCTTGGTGGGATCGGAGGTGCCGTCGGATTTCGCGGTGAGCTTGGTGAACTCGGGCGCTTCATTGTTGGGCAGCTTCAGCTTCGTCTTTTGCTTGTCGGTGACGTACGCGCTCGCCACGTATTGCGTGCCGGTCCACTGGAGGAACTGCTTCTCGACCTGCTCGATCTCGGCGGGAATGGGCTCGACGACGGTAGTCTTGCCGATAGCCACTTGGAGGGTGATCTGGTTTCCGGGCGCGAGAGGTTCGGTCAAGAGAATGCGGTAGTATTGTGTCGGACTGTGCAGGTCTCCACATCAGTTCCAACTCCACACCCACAAACCCCCAAAAAGAAAGGGCAAACTCCAGTCCGTAGCGCACCTTTGAGGATCGAACTCCACCTCATCGACCTTAAACTCTCCGAAGGGGGCCTTCTTGTCCCCGGCCTCGAAGAAGCTGACTTTCGTCACCTCGTCGGCCGCAAACGGCATATAATACTCGGTCTGCCCCTCTTCGAGACATTCTCGACGATAACGGAAATGACTTCCTTCGAGTACGGTTTCGTCAGATCTATCGAGCGCAGTAGATTGATATTTCTGAAGACGGGCGCGGGCGCGAACGAGGGCAGGCAGGGATGAGCTTCGCATTGACGGTGGTGAGGACCGAGGAGAGGAGGAGCAGGGCTCCCGTGAAGGAACGCATTTTCGCAGGCCGGGTGGGGGATGTGCTGTGGCCGAGCGGAAGAATTGAGGTAGGATCTTTGGTTTGGAGAAGGCGGGTCACGCAGCAAACAGCTCGAAGTTCACGAAACTACCCTGGGAACTGCTTTGGGTTACGTGTTGTCTTGACGAACCCTGGCGGGGCCGCGAATGACTTGCATGCTGGCGCTAGCGAGTCTCCGAGCCGCGAGAGAGCATGGTATGTCCACTCGGCGAGCCAGCCTGGGTGTTAAGCTTGAGCTTGAGCTTGAGCTTGACCCACGAGTTGAGGTTGGTATTGGGTGGATAAACTCCGCAAGAAAAGTCCTCTAGAAATAGCTTGATATAAATGGATAGCTATTACCTCCAGGCCACATCGATCCAGGGTCTTCCACTGGCATGCTAGGGCCAACAGTCAGCTTGTAGCTGCGGTTGGTGTCGGAATAGAGGGATTGAAAAGGGTCCAGTGGGCACCTATGTACTCGGTGAAAGGACCGAATGGATTGCATGAGCAGCCAGGTCGTATACACAGAGCAAGGACTCCCGTGGACCACCAAGCAGAGGGACGGGAGTTGACGGGGAAGTCTAGGTATTGGAATCCTATGGATCTCCCCGGTGCAAGATGTGAAGTATCCAAACGCAATTAGAACTCGACCCACCCAACGGCGAGTACTAGGAAAACATCCGTGTGGTGACCACACGGTGTGTGGTCATTAGGCCAGCGCCACTTAATGTAAAGTCATAAGTATGGCAGGTTCTGCAATACGCGGTATCATCGCTAGAGTGAGCTGGAGCAGGTACAGTAGGTTCAATCTGTAGATCTAGCGGCATCGTAACTTCTGCGGCATCATTCGAAATACGATCTTGAAACAGAGGCTGAGTATCTGCTTCCACGCCTTGTAGTGTTCTGACTCTTCGTCGTTGCCGTGGGCAGTCGTTGAACTTCCATCTAAAGAACAGTATTAGGGCCCGTTTGGATGGCCTCAGTTTTTCAGTTCCAGTTTTAGAGCGAAATTCAGTTCCCCGCCGGGACATCGAATACTGCCCAGTTTCAGTTTTCCGGAGAAACTGTGAGGTGAACAGAGTGTTGGGCAGTTCTCAGATTACTCAGCCATAAGTCTAAATAATAGGCTTCAACACAACTTTAATAGTGGACACATTGTGGCCCCGCTTTTTGTCTTCCCGTAAACCGTAAAGGGAGTTGAAGTTAAAATGCGATACTGAGTGGCGGTAAAGAAATGAATAAATTCCATTCTATAGAGTCCACGGAGATCTACAAATCTAGCAGTGTAAACGGCAGCGCAGTCTCTCCGCAGTATCGTCGCTAAAGCTCCTCCACGGCTCTGCTCCAAAATATTAGGGCTGGGCAGTCGCTTCGCTCCAAAATCCGACGGTCGGAAACTTAGGGTTGAGCCACGGAAATCGCCACACCACTGCCCTTTATAGGAATAGATACGGGTTAACCCTATCGACCCCGGGTAATACATCCACTGCCCTCCCTCCCATCTACTTCAACCCCCCCACGCCTTCCCCCCCTCACCACGACCAACACGACAATCCATGGCGACCAACCCGGCCATGGCCCCTCCTCCGACGACGACCAAGCCCGCGAAGGACGACGATGCCGGCACGCCGGCGACTACAAGCGGCGGCTCCCGTTCTCTCGTCGCCTGCGGCACCACATGCGGAACACCGCGAAACCTGACCGGCGAGCTCGTCCCCTTCGTTATGAGAAAGCGTCCTTCTCCGCTTTGCCCAACGTTGGGCGCACAGGTTTGATCGGGGTTCGGCGCACGCTCCCATTCCATGAGTTTAGTGACCGCAACTTTAGGGGCATGATGGAGAGACGTGCACGGTGCGGGGGGCGGCGGGCGGAGCGCCGCGGCCTCGTCATCCGCATCGGCAAAACGCTCGACGCTATCCCCCTCGACAGCTTGGCCGGCGATACTTCACACCGTCGAACAGGTCTGGATGACTTTTAAGGACGTGGATCAGGCGTGCTACATCGTCTACTACGAACAGGGGAGGAGGAGATGGCTGAAGAAATTCTTCAAGATCATGCCAGACGAGGATATGACTGGAATGGTTAACACGCCCCGTCAGGCTCGTCGCATCGAGAGACAGGCGCGCATTCAAGTTCAGGCCCGCGCCGCTCGGCGTCAGGCTCTTCAAGCGGAGCTCCAGGCCCGCGCTGTGCGCCGTCACGCTCGTCAGGTTGCGATCCAGGGCGTCGCTCAGCGTCAGGCTCAAGTTCAGGCTCGTCAGCTTAAGACCCAGGCCCAGGTTAAAGTTCAACCCTGGCCCAGGTTAAAGTTCAGACCCAGGTTCCAGTTCCAGTTCAGGCTCGGGTTCATGTTCTGCTCCAAGCCCCGCGCCGCTCGGCGTGAGGCTAAAGTTCAGGCCCGCGCCGCTCGGGTCAGACCCGGCAGGACTTGAAGGCGTATATATACTGCGTAATACAATATACCTAGTCGGCAAGGACACAACGACGGATAACCTCTACTGGACTGGACTGGCATGTCGGCTTCTTCGTAGCTTTTTTCTAGAAAAAAAAGGACGAAAAAAGGGTTCACTTTCACTTTCACTATTTCTAGTTCGTCTATTTCTGGTTCGTCTGTTTTGCTCTATTTGCTCCGTGATTAGACCGGTTCCCGGTAATATGTAACACACCCAGTTGCACGCACCAGCACGCCCTCTAGGCTCCAGGCTCCGAGAAACCGGAGACCGAAGTCGGTGGCGGATCGGTACATAGGACAATCGCTTATATACACGCAAAAGGTTAACCCAATCCACCACATCATCCGTAATCCGAGTGCTTCCATGGTCCACGCGCTGCAGGTAGGTAGCTCAAGTTCATCGAGCAAAGCTCGAACAGGTATTATCAATTACGTTTATACCGTCTACATCGTCATCATGACCATCACCATCATCTTCCCATCACCTTCCAATCACCTTCCCCTTCCCCTACCCTTCTCCCTCCCCGCATCCACATCCATCGTCCCACCAGCACTCTTCCACACGCCCTCCTCGACCCTAACGGGGACCTTCCCGCCCCTGAGCGCGGTATCGATGATCCACAGGCCGACCACCCACTCCTCCCTGCTGAGCCGTCCCTTCGCGCCTCGATCCACAAGCTGCCACACCTCGGCGAGCACACGGTTCTCGAGGCGACTTCGCTGCCACAGTTCACGGACGACATAGTTCTCGATATACTTGTACCCCGGGGAGTTAGATGCGAACAAGCCCTCGTAGCGGCGTCTAGCAGCCGCGGGGATGGTGCGTGCCCACGTGTGGTTGAGCACTTCGTTGTGGCGGTGGCGGCGCGGCGGAGGCTTCGGTGGTGGGGGGGTGGGACTACGCGGTGGGCGCAGGGTCCGCGGGAGGGGGGGAGGGAGCGGCGCCGTTGCGGTGAAGGTTTGTGCGGCGGGCGGGGGCGGGTGGTTTACGTGGCCCTGGGGGGATGGAGCGCGAGGGCGCAAGGGAGGCGGCGATTGTGGCGGCAGGGCGGGAAGGGATGGGTGGTGGGATGGTGGGGAGGGAGCGACGACGACGGGGGAGGGGGGCCGGTGGTTTGCGGGTGCTGGTCGGGAGGAAGGGTTTTTTCTGGGGTGGTGGGGGTGGTCGGAGGACGACGGTTGTTGCGATGGAGGCGCCAGAGGCGGAGGTTTCGGAGGTTGCCCGCGCAAACGAAGGCGGGTCAATGATCTTCCGTCGCGGCGGAGGAGTTTGGCCGTCCGACTTGCGTGGAGACGAAATGTGGGCCCTTGCTGCCGCCGTGGGCGCGCTGGAGCCTGAAGACGCTGAGGCCGTTGATGATGTGCGCGCGGGTAGGGTGGGTCGTAAGTTACTGGTGGAGGGAAGTTTCCGTGGTGGTGGGCGCGCTTTCCGCGGTAGTGGAGGCATCGGAGCCCCTCCTCCTCCGGTATTCTGCGGCCTCGAAGCGTGAGCTATCGTTGCCGCCGTCAAGGCGCTGGGCCGTCCCGAGTTGTGCGACACCACCGATTCGGTGTGTCTTACTGGGGAAGCGTCTCCTGTCGCCTTCTTCCTCGTCGGGGGAGGCAGCGGTGATCTTCCGCCCGTCGTTTGTGGAGACGGGAGTGCCGATGTGGGCCTCGATGATGCATGGGCTACCGTTGCTGCCGCCAGTGCGTCGTTCCGCGCTCCTACACCCGAGATTCCCGAGTCCAGTGATTCCGTCCGCGCGATCGGCGGCTTCTTTGGCGGCGGAGGCTTGGACTTGATCCGTTCCAAGTCATGCGAAGCGGCCGATTCCGTCCGTGCGATGGGAGACATGTCCACTTTCTTCTTCTTCGGTGGTAGAGGCGCCGGACTCGACACACCCGCCCCCACCGTGGCTGTCACGGGGGTTGTGCGCGCGGGGTGGGATGGTCGCACGTTGGTGGTTGTCGTGGGGGGTTTACGCCGCGGTCCACGAGCCTTCCGTGGTAGTGGAGGCATCGGAGCTCCCCTTGCACCCCCACCGGTAGTCTGCGGGCTCGAAGCATGGGTCCTCGTTGCCGCCGACTCCCTGGACTCCGTCCTTGCGATTGTAGGTCGGTCCAGATCTACCCTCTTCCACGGCGCCGGTCCTCCCGCTCCACCGGTAGTCCGCGGACTCGAAGCATGCGCGCGGGACGCCGCCGTTATCGCGCTGGAACTCTCCGAGTTCCTCGAAGCCACCGAGACCGAGGACGGTTTGGGCGCAACCGGGGGTTTCGGGCTCATGCTCGGGCTCGGGCTCTGACCAGCACTGGTTGCGACGATTGCGGCAGCCAGGGACGGGCTCTTTGCGGTAGTCTGCTGTTCGAACATCGATTTGAGAGAGGAGATGTCGTCGAGCGATGAAGAGTCGACTTTTTCCGGACTGCCGGGGCGCTTCCGCGCATGACTCGTCGTTGTCGAGGGTGATAGGGGGGTTTCGTCCGCTTCTCCGAATAGCTTCAGGCGCTGCCGCACCGCGAGCGCTTCTCCTTCCCCTGCCATGGCCGATGAAGAGGAGCCAGAACGAGAGTGTCGCGATGACCTGGTGTTGGAGCGCGATGTCCGCTGTTGTTGGCGTTGGTGTTGTTGTTGCTGTTGTTGTGGTGGTGGTGGTTGTCTCCTATCCCCCCGTTCGCGTATAGCTGGTGCTGGTGGTGGTGCAGGTGCTGGTTGCTTTTTGGCAAAGCTCAGCACTGCCGCGCGGAGAGCTGCAGAGTCCGGGGCCGGCGATGCCGTTGCATTTGCGGCTGGCTTTGGGGCCGCCCGCTTGTACATGTCATTAAAATAGGTATCTAGTGCCGAAGCCGA